AGAAGGGCTACTGCGACGAACGAACAACACACACACACACCCATACCCACAGGTGGGTCGTTGCGAGGAGGACTGGCCATGGGTATGGGTGCGGGTTGTCGGACCCTGGGGACCGCGCACGTCCGAGCGGGGACCCCCATCCAACAGCACGCACCCGTAGCCCTTTCCGATGTTGTTTAATGGGCATGGTTGTGTGTGTGTGTTGCCCGTTCGTCATACTAGGCCCGATCAGGGGCCACCGAGCCAGAACGGGCCGGGTTCGGGCCCGATGATGAGTTTTGGCTTGCACGGGAATCGGCGGACTTGAACGGGACTTTGCCGATTCTTTTTTGGCTACAACGGCCATAGGGGCGGCGATGCTGAGAAGCTCACCTCCCGGTAGCTGCATGTATGTTTTAGAAGGGCGGGCGCGAGGAGGGCGGCCCTCCTGGGGCGGCTGCAGGAGGGTAGATATGTCTTCAAACCCCCAGCTGGTAGGGACCCGTTTCAGAGACCCAGATCGGGTCCGAGAAGATGGGCTCCGAGAAGATGGGGTCGGAGGATCGCGCCACATCGCTGATGCATCGACATCGGCGACGTCGGCGATGTATCGGAGAGGTCGGCGTGGCGAACGTCGGGCTCCGCATCGAGCCGCATCGCCGATGCATCAACGATGCGGCGCGATCCTGCGACCCCATGTACTCGGACCCCATCTGGGAGGCCTAGATTCTAAAAGGGTAGATCTGTTCTCAGAACCCCAGCTCGTAGGGAACCGTGTCAGAACCCTCCCAGCTGGTCTGAACAATCCCTGGCCTTGGACGCTAACGGGCCCCGCGGCCCGCACCTTTGATCATCTCAGGTATGCGCCTGGCAGGTAGTTCCCGCAGACAGGGCACAAACAACGATTGGCCTTGGCATCGCTTTGCAAAAGACTCGGCAGTGGACAAACCTCCCTTTCGTAAACCTCCCTTTCGTGAAAACGGCCTAAGACTGAAACCGACGGACCTGGACCCGCAAAGATGACCGCCGCGACGCCCTTTCGCGAACCAAAAACGGCCAATTCGCTAATCGACGTGTCACTGTAGGAGGTCGATCAAACTCCGAGAGGAGGAGGAGGAGGAGGAGGAGGAGGAGGAGGAGGAGGAGGAGGAGGAGGAGGGAGAGCAGGGAGGAGGAGGAGGAGGAGAGGAGGATGAGGAGGAGGAGGAGGAGGAGGAGGGAGGGAGGGAGGAGGATGGGAGGAGAAGGAAGGAGGAGGGAGGAGGAGGAGGAGGAGGAGGAGGGGACAGGAGGGAGAGGAGGATGAGGAGGAGGAAGAGGAGGAGGAGGAGGAGGGAGGAGAACGGGGCAGGAGGAGGAGGGAGCCATGCCGGAACCCTCCGGGCCAGGCCGAACAGACCCTGGCCTGCAAAAAAAGCCCCCCGCCCGCCCGCCGCGCGCCGCCGAGCAGGGCCGGGGGACGCCCCCAGACGTCCAACGCCTCTAGCGTTAAGTCGGGCCTGTCCCCCTACAGTCGGGGCGCTGAAGAAGGAACCCTTTTCGTTGGGGAGGGGCTCGGTGTTCCTTGATTGTTTCAAAGTTTGCCTCGGGTTTTCCTGCGGTTTTCCATAGGAAATCAAGGTTCAACTTATGGGAAAAAGGGGCCTCGTTCCTCATTTAGGGTTCCTTAGGTCAACGCCCCGACTCTACAGGGGGATTTTCGACGAAAAAACAAAATACCCCACACAAGAATACCCCACAAATTATCAAACAATAATATAAAAATATTCAGGGGACTATTTCTTGAATATTTGTTTACCTTTGGGGGGGCATTTTGGGTGTTTTTTAATGTTTCGTCGAAAATCCCCCTGTAGGGGGGCACGCCCGACATAACTTTGGCTCACACCAGCGCGCACGTCTGCCGCCGTCGTCGGCATCTCGGGTCCATCGCCGGGCCCTGGGGCGGGTCAACGACAAGTCGTGGGGTGGGAAGCCAGCCCTGGGGCAAGAGAGGCCTCCTAGATGAGGTCCGAGTAGATGGGGTCGGAGGATCGCGCCGCATCGCCGATGCGTCGGCGGTGCACTGGCGACGTCGGCGATGCATCGGCGACGTCGGCGTGGAGAAAAGTGGGCCCCGCATCGCCGATGAGGCACGATCCTCCGACAACGACGACTCGTGGGGTGAGAAGCCAGCCCTGGGGAACAGGGCCGGGCCTCCGTGCGGCCCCGCGCTGGAGAAATCCAAACAGGCCGGACCTCTGAGGCAACCGAACTTGGCCAGGGCCATCCTGGGCCCAGGGTCCTCGGCTTTAAGTCGGGCCTGTCCCTCTAGATGGCGAGTATTCGGGAATTGGTAAAAATTGTCCAAGGACGATTTCTTGAGTACTCTGGAGCATTATTTCTGGGGCATGTTTGATTTTCCGTCCAGAACCCGCCTGCAGGGGGACATGCCCGACCGAAGCCTTGGCCAGAGCCGCGGCACCGAATCTGGCCACAGCCATCTTGGGCACAAGGTCGGTGCCTGCGCCTCCCTGGGCCGAGCGTGCACCAACCCCCTGGCCCTACGAGCCAAGTAGGGGGCAGACAATCCACCCCGATAGCCCGGCGGTGGACAACGGCCTGGGACCGAAACCGGCGGAACTGGACCCGCAAAAATGACCGCCGCGACGCCCTCTCGCGAACCGAAAACGGCCAATTCGCTAATCGACGTGTCACGGTGGGAGGTCTGTCCACCCCCGAATAAGAACAACCCCGACACGCGAAGCCGTTCAGAAAAACGCACCCCAAAGAAGGCATCAACCAGGGCAGGGCTGCTCAATAACCGCCCAAGGCCATTGAAAAAACGCAAAGTGTCCGGTCCGGGTGGTTTTTCCTCCCTGGACGAAGTGCCGATACATATTTCAATCCTAAAATTTCTTCGGCGCGTTGCCTTATGCGCCCCATGTTCTTTTCAAAAACTACGGTCACCTTGACATGCTGCCATGAGCCCTTGCAACAGACCAAACCCGCGGCGCACGCCGGCTCCTGCACCGCATGCGACCCCCCCTCAAGACCACCATCCCGCGCACGCCTGCGCGCGTCGACGTCCCAGGAACTCCCAGGCGCAGGAGGCCATTCTGACAAATTGCTCGATGCGGATGATGAGCCGATTTCCCACCACCACCACCACAATAGGTAGGAGGAGGAGGAAGAGGAGGAGGAAGAGAAGGGGGCAGAGGTGAGGTGAGGCAGCCCCGAAGCGGACGGGTCAATGCTCAATGCCCCCGCCGCCCTAGGCCAACCGCGAGGACCATCGCGGCTGAAGTCGGCGCGAGCTCGCATGGGAGGCTTACCGAGGCGAGCCACACAAAAAGGCGACGCGCGCCACTAAAGGCAGCAGCGCCGCGAAGCGCGGCAGACGCGCGGAAAGGCGAGAGACGTACCCGACACGCGCGCCAGAGGACAGCAAGCAACGACGGCAAACCGCTCTACAAATCCGTGAGCGAGAGGACGGGCCGCGCGCGCCACGTGCGCCACGAGGCAGCAGCTAACCCGGCAAACCGCTCTACAAGCCCGTTCTGACATTTCGAGGCCTCAGATAACGACACGCCGCGCGTGCCGCCCCAATCAGCCACCCGAAGGACACCACTCCCTCGGGGACAGCCCGCCCCCACGCACACCACGGCGGGGGACGGTGACCGTGGGAAGAATGGACGGGAATCCTCCGATGAATCCCCCCGCATAGGGGACCCACGACACCACCCATGCCCCAGCGGAGTACTGCTGGGAGAGCCACGCAAGGGTGTCGCAACACAACGTGGCAGACCCACAACCCAGGCACAGAACACGGAAGGAAAAACCGCGCACTGAAACCCTGGACTGCCCCCACCCGCCACAAGGACGAGTCGGGCACAGCCCCGAGACCCCAGACGCGACCCTTCCACCGTGGCGCAGGCTGGGACGGCTTCTCCCCTGTCCTACCTATGCTAGTGGCATTGGCGCATTACCGGATCCACGTCCAAAATCCACCATCCAACATGAGAACGTTCCTTTACGTTCGGCGATGACGGGCGTCATGGGGGGGTGGGGGCGGGGGGGGTATGACTTAACGCCCCCCCCCGTGTGGCTCCGGCACCGCAGCCGCGCCCGCGCGCGCGACGCGACGAGCGACGAGCGACGAGAGACGACGACGACGACAACGACGACGCGAGCAGCATGTAGGTGGCGATATGCCCCACGGCGCCTGTGTAAGCCGCAGCGCTCGCGTGCAACACAACGCGCGCGCGTATACCACAACGCCTGCGTACACCGCAACAACCGTGCGCAACGCAACGCCTGTGTACACCACAGTGCGCCGGTGTACATGTGCACATCACAGCTGCCATGTGCAACACAGCGCCTGTGTACACCACAGTGCTTGCGTGCACCGCAGCGCCCGTGCACGCCACAGCTCGTGTCTACACCACAACATCCGCGTGCAACGCAGCGCTGATGTACACCACAATGCCTGCGTGCATAGGACAAGTAGAAGGAGCATGTACGTGAGGATCTGCTGCGGACAACTAGACGCCACGCCAGGAAAATGCTGATAATCGAATGCGACGTTCTTGTTTCCTCCCTCCTCCTCCACCTCCACCACCACATCCTCCTCCTATTCCTCCTCCTTCTCCTCCTCCTCCTCCTCCTCCTCCTCCTCCCCTTCCTCCTCCTTACCCCCTGTCGTGCGGGTTGGCGCTACAGCGCACGTGCGCATCTCAGCGCGCACCGCATAATGGTTTATTTGAATCGGTCCACTTACTTTTTTGACGGCCGGTTTACCTGCAGCCTCCTGGACGCAGACGGGAGGAGTTACTGTGATGCGGGCGGACTCGGGAGGACTCGAAGATTCCAGCGGCGCTTCGTTGTCCATACGGATCAGTTTCCATTGTTTTCTGTGGAATCCACAAGCGCTCCATTTTGCCATAAGGATTTGTTCTAACATTATATATACAACAGTGGTGCTGTGTTGCACACGGTTGCTGTGGTGCACACAGGCGCCGTGGTGCACACAGGCACTGCAATGCACGCGCGCATTGCGGTGTACACTGGTGCTGTATTGCTCACGGCGGATGTGGTGTACGCAAGCGCTGCGGTGTGCACAAAAGCTGTTGTGCCCGCAGGAACGGTGGCACAAGATTGACGCTGTGTTGCACGCGGCTGCTGTGGTGTACATAGGCGGTGTGGTGTACACAGGCGCTGTGGTGCACGCAGGCACTGTGGTGTACACAGGCGTTGTGATGCAAATCGACACGTACATGGTGGCGTTACCCGTCCTCCGTCATTCCTAGGTATTCCCATACGCCGCCGGCGCCAAACGTGACGTCATCGACCCTCTCCCCCACCCCCTAGGTGATTGCCGTCATCGATCCGAAATAACAAGCAGGTTTCAGCCGCGTCCGCGCGCACGACGACTATGAGCGACGCGCGACAAGCAACGGGCGACGACGACGACGACGACGACGACGACGACGACGACGACGACGACGACTGCGGACCAGACTCCCATGCGGATTCCTACGCGGACACCTACGCGGATCCCAATGCGCATAGAGGCAGTGCCCAGAGCACACTGGGGGGGGGGGCGTTAGGTCATTGGGGGGGGGGGGCGGGGGCCATGACGCCCGCCATGCCCCAAGACTCCCGACCGCGAAGACCCGCGGGCACCGCGCGCACGCCCGCGGCGTCGCGAGCGCGCACGCTGAGTACAGTGTCTCAGCATGACGAAAATCCTTACTCGTCGACCGACGCTGACTATGCATCGGCACGCGTAAAAATGAGGATCGTGTGCCAGTATACGCGAGCGTGAGCGTGTGTATAAAGATAGATGTGTAGATGTGTACACCTCATACAATGTGGCATCGTTCCCTGTCGGGCGAACGTTTTTTCTCCGGGAGTTAAATCGGCGGCGAGATGTTGACGGTCTCGCTCCAGGGGGCGGTAGTGAGCCAGTAAACAGGTTCTGGACATCACGTACGCCTGCTCGGGAGCACCATCACGTGGACCGCTCTCTGACAGTGGCCGCAACAGGTCTGGAGTGTGCGGCGCGCTGCTGGAGAGCGTGGGGGGGGCCGAGAGCGCCACGGAGAGCCGACCACGCCTCGAGGAGGCCAGGCACAATCCGAGCACGCCAAGGAGGGCCGCAGCTGCCTCCGCGTGGCCGTCCTCCGACCAGCAGCACCAGGCGCACCCTTCCTCACAAAGGGAACGCTGGCGGGGGGCCGCCTCGGGGTGGTGCTCGTCGTCTGCCCGCCGGGCTAGAACCGCCTCGGGCCTCCAGCGGCCGCCGGGGACGACTCGGGCACCCCCAGGACGCGCTCGACGAGGCGCAGCTGATGAAAACCACCCCGGATCTCGAATGCTTGAGAGAGGCATAAGGATGAGGGAAGAGAGGAGGGAGAGAGGAGGCAGAGAGAAGGGAGGAGAGGAGGGAGGAGGGAAAGGAAGGAGGAGCAAGAAGGTCAGAGCGTGAACGTTCGAGGAAGTCCTAGGCGAAAGCGCTGTTCCTGAAGGAGCGACGCTCCCCGAACTCTTCGAAACGGGCCCTGAGCTGCTCCCCCCCCCGTACGATCCCCCCCTCTGAGCCGATGTGCCCTGGCCGGATGATGCACCTGCCCCTCCCGCAGCAGAGAAACAGACGACTGCAGAAACATCCGCTGACGGAGGTCCGCGCGGATTTCTTGGATCGGCGCTGGGCCCCCCTCCCTGTCGCGCGGAGCGCGCCAGGGGCGGCGCCAGAAGCGCCCCAGGGGGGGAACGCCCTGAGAGCGTTCTGGAACGCTCTGGCACGGATTTAGTTAACTTGGCGGCGCGGCGCACAAGGGAGTATGGGGGAGGGGGGAAGGCTTCTTAGACGGGGCTGTTTCTTAGAAGAGGCGGGCCCTACATCTACACACGAGGCGCACAACTTCTGAGGAGCAGGGGTGCTTCTCTAAGAAGCCTTCCCCCCTTCCCCTGCCCCCCCCTGCGCGTGGACGTTTATCCTCGACGCAAGCCAAGCGTGGCCAGAGGCCTCTTAGATGGGGTCGGAGTAGATGTAGTCGGAAGGTCGCGCCGCATCGCCAATACATCGGCGATGTATCGGCGATGCCCCGGCGAGGCATAGTCGACGACGGCGATGCATCGGCGTTGTCAACGTGCAGCAAATTGGGCAGCATATCGAGCCACGTCGGCGACGCATCGGCGATGCGGCGCGATCCTCCGACCCAATCTATACTTTGGACGCCCGGAATTGGTACGGACAAAATTGGCACAATGCCCAACAACGAATGTTGTCCCAACCCAACAGCGGCCGCTGTTGGGCAGGCGGCCTTCTGTCTCAAATGTACACGGGCCGCGGCGACACCGACGGCGAGCCCTGCTCCAAAGGAACAGGAACCGCTGCTGGGCATCGCACCCCTTCTTTCCGTACCCATTCCGTTCGTGCCGATATTCCGATCCAAGCCCGTCGCCAGGGGGAGCAGGCGCAGGCGTGATCCTAGAACATAAACCCGATATGATGAAGACAGACAGTCCCAACCAGAAATGTTCTAAGAACATCTCGTGGGTACCACAAGAGGCTCTTGGGACAATTCATTGGCAGGGCCATAGGCGAGCCAGGACTCTTCGCCACTGCTTGATAGGAGTCGCAGAAGCCCGGTGCCGAGGTGGGGGGCGGGGGCAGTCCGGCGAGGGTATGGGCCGGCTGCGGCCGTTGCCGGGGAACAGCACCAGCAGCTCCTCGGGGGGGCGGCGGGGCGCCGGGGCGCCGCCGGCTGCGGCGGGTGCCCCCTGTTTGGGGCACTCTTCGCTGCCTCTTGGGGCTCTCGCAGGGCCCCGGGGCCAGCGTTCTCGTCGTCGTCGTCGTCGTCGTCGTCGTCGTCGTCGTCGCCATACTCGTCGTCCTCGTCATCGTCCTCCTCCTCGTCGAGCTCGTCGCCGTCATGCTTCTCCTTTGTCCAGCCGAGGTACTCCAGAGGCCCAGGACATGACCCTGCTCGGCGTCGATGTCGCCGCCGCCGCCGCAGCCGCCGTCGTCGTCGTCGTCGGCGTCAGCGTCAGCGTTGCCGTCGTCGACGTCAACGTCGTAGTTGCCGTCGACATCGCCGTCGTCGCCGCAGCCGTCGCCAACGCTGCCGTCGACGCGGTCGAAGTCGAAGTCCTCCAAGTCGCCGCCGCCGCCGGCGCCGCCGCCGTCGGCGGGGGGCTCCTCGTAGCTCAGGCGGTCCACGTCGAGCCGCTGCACCAGGCGGCGCGCCAGCGCGCGCGCGAGGCGCGGCGGGAGTCTGTGCGCGGGCAGGCCTGCCCCCCCTCCCACCGGGTGGCGGCGCCCCCGGAGCAGGCCGAGGCAACGGGCGCGACAGAATGGTTGGGCTACAGTCGGGAAGTTGACCTAAGGAACCCTAAATAAGGAACGAGGCCCCTTTTTCCCATCAGTCAAAGTTCGATTTCCCATCGAACCCCTAAGGAAAACCTAAGGCAAGCTGTGAAACAATCAAGGAACACGGAGCCCCTCCCCAACGAAAAGGGTTCCTTCTTCAGCACCCCGACTGTACTACAATCAAAGCTGCTGGCTAGGATGCGCGACAAGGACGCAGATCCCCTTGGACGCCTGTGCTGAAGCTCTTCAGGCGGGACAGGCCGTCGAAAGGGGTTAAGGTTCTATTAGGTCGGGCATGTCCCCCTACGAGCGCATTTTGGGTGAAGAATGACACATGGGTAAAAAAATACCCCCGAATGGGCAAACATAGCAGAACAAAAATGGTCCCCTGACTATTTGTTTTGACTATTATTGAATATTCCTCCCGTAGAGGGACGTGCCCGACTTCAGATTAAGGACAGGCCGAGGAAGTACGGGTGCAAGGCACCCTTCTTTGGGACGGTTGTGCATCCTTGTCGCTTTCGACTCTATGAGAGAGCGCGCCCGCGGCGCCCTCCCCAAGTGGGGAGCCCCCCCTTAGCTACCCCCACCCCCTCTGATCTGCCCTGCAGGAAGCCCCATCCTCCTTTTTTCTTCTCATCGGACGATCCCCCCCCCCCTTTCGCGTTCGTTCCGGAAGCTCCCCCCCTCCCTTTCCAAAGGGGAGGGGCTTAGCTACCCCCCCCCCTTAGACCTCCCCCTTTTTTCTCGCCCCTCGGAAGCTACCTCCTCCCCCCCCATTTCGCGCTCCGGAAGCAATCCCCCCCCCTCCCCATTCCTTCTCCAAAGGGGGGTGATGCTCAGGATGCGATGCACTCGGCGTGAACCAGCTCAGAAGTGGTCTACGCATGCCCTGCGTGGCGTGAGCGGGTGAGGCCTCTCTGCTAAGTGGGCCCCGTCCCCTTAGCCCAGATCGCTGCCCCCCGTACGCCGCTCAGGGAACTTGCAACCCACCTAAAGAGGGTGTGAAACCAGACATAACCCATCGTCGCATCTACTTAGAATCCCTTCTATCCCACAGTCACCACACGGAATGGTCACCGCACCGTTTTGGGGGAGAGTCGAGGGCCACCAGACTCTGAGATCCGTCGTTGCGAACAAATGGCAAGAAGATCGCGAGAAACCACGGCCAGAGCCCTGGACCCCATCTCTCGGCGGCACTTTTCGAGCCAGATTGATCTGCGAGGGCCCCCGCCGATGCATCGCCGATGCAACACCGATGCATCGGCGACGTTTCATCGACGACGTCGGCGTGGAACACACCGGGCTCCACATCGAGCCACACCGACGACGCATGGGGCGGCAACGAGCGATCCCCCCGACCCCATCGATGGACCAGAACACGAGCGACAGCACCCCACCGACGGTCCCACGGGCCTTGGCATACACCACGAATTCCGGCCTGGGTTCTTGTGTCGTATACGCCACGGCCCCCGATGGGACGTAGTGCGACACGGAGGGCCGTAGGTACGGGGTGTCCTCTTGACCTGGTCGAATCTACTCGGACCTGATCTTGGAAGTCTGGAACTTTTGGAACCCACGTCGTCCATCTTACTGACCCGGGTCAATGTAAACCCGGGGGTCAGTTAAGCTTCGCAGAATCCTGCAAGATCCTGCGGTATGCAGGATCCTGCACCCAAGCTCGGTTCAATGCGCCCCTCGCCCTGCAGGATCCTGCCAGATCCAGCGTTCCTGCTGACCCCCGTTTGCACACCCCCGTCTCTAGGCTCCCGACCACTCGATGTGTGAGGGCCCCCCGGGGCCCGAAACTGTGCAGAAATGCCGGGAGCTGAAGCAGCTGCAGCACCCGGATCCCAGAGGCGTGCCATCGCTTGGACGTCCACTGCCCGTACACTTGTCGGCTTCGTGCGTGGATTACTCCGCAAGATGACCCCACAAGATACTCCTCGAGAGATGCGCGATGACAATATCCCTGACCCTTTGCGAGGGGATCTAAGTTAGGAGGTCCAGGGAATTTAGGGAGAAAGGCCTTTGCTGTAGATGTATCAGACCAAGCCACCCGGATCTATTATCCCTGATGCGAACACGGGGACGTAAGTGAGGCCACGTCTCCATCGTGCCATTAGGTCTCAGGGCATCCTTTTGCCCTCGACGATCGACGGCCTTCGCCGAGGAAAACTGCACACGCCCGAACTTTGGAGTCCCGAAACGGTGCGGTGACAAACCGTGCGGTGACCCCGAAATCCCCCGAGACCTCACCGCACGGTCCGTCAACGCACGGTCTTGGGCCCTCGGATGCCCCAGTCGCCCGAGACGTCCTCGGAGAACGACCCGAGTCCCAAAACCGTGCGGTGACCCCGAATTCCCACCGACTCACCACACGGTGTGGTCACCACCCCGTGGGGGGGCTCCCGACGAACGATGCCGAGCTCAAGGGTTTGGACGCCCGGAATGGGTACGGAAACAATTCGCACAATGCCCAACAACGAATGTTGTCCCAAACCAACAGCGGCCGCTGTTGGGCAGGCAGCCTTCTGTCTCAAATGTGCACAGGCCGCGGCGACACCGACAGCGAGTCCTGTTCCAAAGGAACAAAAACCGCTGTTGGGCATTGTACCCATTCTTTCCGTACCCATTTCGTTCGTGCCGAAAGGGAGGGCCGCCTCGAGGATCTTCTGACCCGGGTCAATCCAGACCCGGGTCAGTCAAGCCTCGCAGAACCCTGCAAGATCCTGCACCCAAGCCCGGGTCGATGCGAAGGATCCTGCAAGGCCCTGCAGGATCCTGCACCCGAGCCCGGGCCAGTGCGACCCTGGCCCTGCGGGATCCTGCAAGAGCCGGCGCTCTGGCCGACCCCCCTTTGCACCGACCCCGTCTCGAGGCTGCCGACTGCCGCCGAGAGCGGGCCGCGACGCCGGCCGGCCCTCCGCCCACCGGCTGCCCCCCCCCCCCCCGCGCGGGGGGCCCCTCCGTGGGGGCCGGCGGCGGCGCCACCTCGCTCGGGCGACGGGGGGGGGGCGAGGGGCGGCCGCTATGGCGGTCTGCACGCGCGCTCCGCGCAGCTTTTTCAGTGGGGCGTGTCCCCCTTCTGAGAAAAATGCCCCGAGGAATTGCCTCGATCAGGGAAGCGGGCAGCACACAGAGGAAGGGTTCCCCATGGTGGAGGCCTCTTGGAGCGGCTTGGGGACCTCTTGGCGGTCCCGGACGCCCCTTCGAGCGTCTTGGGTGCCTCGAAGAGCTTCTTAGGGCCTCTCGGGGGTCTCTTGAGAACCTCTTGGACTACAAGGGGAGTTTTGGGCGAAAACGGGGGTCGGCGAGGGGGGCTCTCGCATTGCCTGCCGCGCGCAGGCCAACCGCTCCTGCCAAACAGCGGCCACGAAGGACACTGCCTTCAAATCTGGAGCATGCGCGGGCGCCCCAATGGCCACTTTGCTTGGGTTTTGTAGCATGGGCGGCGGGGTGCCCTCACATTGTTTACTGAGCGCAGGCCAACGATCCTTGTTTGCTTATAGTTTAAACTGCACGTTGCTTTCAAATCTGAAGCATGCGCGGACGCCTTAAGGCTATGTGGCATTGGCTGTTGACGAGGATGGCCGGGTGCTATTTATGTTTTGCAAAGGCGGGTGGGAGTGAACGAGACAGCTTGCGCCTTGTGCGCAGGAGGGGTTGTCTGGCCCCTCCCCCTCCCCCCTCCCTCTGGGTTGAGGGTGAGGGTCGCGGGTCGCGTCCAAGATGGCCTCAACGAGAAAAAACACAATAAACATGTATGATATGTCCGTGCTGGGCCAATGCTGGTTTCCGGGGGGGGGGGGGGAAGGGGCAATTTTGGGCCCCACTCCCTTCTTTGTTATCTCTTCCAAGATTGCCCCGACATTGGCCCAAGGCCCCGGAAAGTGTCCCAAGATGCTCCCAAGAGGCCTCAAGAGCCTGCCCCGAGGCAGCCAAGACGTTCCATGAGGCCCCCAGGACAGCCAAGAGGCCCCTAAGACGCTACAAGAGGACTCCAAGAAACTTCCCCACGGTACATCCGACGAGACTCCGAGAGGCAGCCAAGATGCCTCTGCGCCATGCTGCCCGTCCTCTTGCTCCTCCACCTGTTCCTCCTGCCTCATCCCTGTGTCCCCCCCCTCTCCCTCATCCTCCCCCTCGTGGGTACCACGGCTTCCCCAGCCGGCTGGGAGAGAGACCCCACCTGAGGGAGACCCCACCTGCTTGAAACAGTGCGTCCTATGAGGGAGACACCACCTGCTTGAAACAGGGGACAAAAAACAGCCAAGATCTGCTCCATGGGGGGGGGAGGGCGGGGGGGAGGGAGGGGGGTCCCGCGCCGATCGGCAAAACCATGAATGAGAAAACGACCGCTTGTTAGGACGCGTGCTTGGAGCTGGGCGGCCGAAGGTGCTCGCCAGGACGCTCCCACTGAAGCGCCTGGACGTACTTGCCAGAAGGATGCGCGGTCCGTCTCCCGCCAGAGCGCGTGCCCTGCTGCCCGCCAAGGGGCCATCCTCCTCCTCCTGCCCCTCTCCTCCCCCCTCCTCCCCCCTCCTCCTCACCTCCCCCCCCCTCCTCCTCCTGCTCCTCCTCCTCCTCCTCCTCCTCCTCCTCTCCTCTCCTCCTCCTTGCTCTTCCTCCTCCTCCTCCTCATTCTCTCTTCCTCCTCCTCCTCCTCCTCCTCCTCCTCCTCGCCTCCTGCCCCTCTCCTCCTCATCCTCTCCTTCTCCTCCTCCTGCTCCTCCTGTTCCTTCTCTTCTCTTATCTTCTCTTCTCTTCCTTTTTCCTTTCTCCTCTTCCCATTTCTCGTCCTGCCCTCCTTCTGCTCTTCCTCCCCTCTCTCCTCCTGCCCCATGTGGGGGTCGAAATCTACACGCCGACGCTTTTCTCTGGCCCACTAATGAAATTTGCACCGGAGAACGGATCCTGGTTGTACACGGGATCCTGGTCTATACATGTTTCGGTGTCCCCCCGGAAAACGGTAAAGAAGAATACACCACACCAACCCGACGTCGCCCCCGACCCTTACAAAAAAACCTGGGATTGAGAAGCAGCCCGTCACTGGACATATTTGTGCTCCAGTTTCCCGCCATGTAGCCCTCTCCTCCTCCCCCCCAATCCCCCCCTGCTCCCCCCTCCCTTCTCTCCACCTCCTCCTCCCCTCTCCCTTCTCCTCCCCACTCCCCTTCTCCTCCCCCCTCCCCTCCTCCCCCCCCCCTCTCTCCTCCTCTTCCCCTCTCTTCTCCTGCCCCACTCTCCCCCTCCCCCCCTCCCCATCCCGCCTCCCCCCTCCCACTCCTGCTCCCCCACTCTCCTCCACAGTTGCACCACGCATGCCACGCGCCTCTCCCTGCCCTGAAGCTGGCCTGGGCGTCGCGCGCCCTCCTCCGCGCGCCGATGTCATACACAACGGATGCGTTGCGTTGAGAGGTGTGTTTCTGAAGGGGCCCCAGGACATACAAATACATACACACAAATAAACATACTCCCCATATTTTCCAATATTTTCTGGTATTCTGTCTTCCCCTCCACTTCCCATATTTTCCCATATTTTCTGGGAATCGCCGATTCATTGTGTCTGTGTGTCTTTTCCCCTCCTGAGTTTCGCACGTGTGTTCCAAAACCCGAACGTCCTCGGTGCTTCCAACCGCGCCCCACTTGAGGACGGGGGGCCTGAGTCTGCGGGCTGCCTTCGCCTCTCTGCCTCGGGCGGCTCCGGGGGGCACCTGCCGCCACCCCCGGAGGCTGCACTGGGCTCGCGGCGCCTGGCACGCAGCGCCTGGAGCCTGTTTTTTGGGGGGATTCAGGCAAGTTTACTTGCATGGCGTTCGCCCCCCCCCCCCCCCCACTTCAAGCGAATACTAGCGTGCAAGTGCCTCCCCCCCCCCCCGGTCCATGCAAGTAAACTTGCCAGAATCTAAAAAAACAGGCTCCTGGCTGCCGCGGGAGGCGCTCGTGGCCCCCCCGGCAGCTCAAGTGTGTGCAGCGCGCGCCTCGCTTGCGGACGGGGGCGTCGTCCTCGTCGCTCCGGAGGAGGAGGAGGAGCGGGAGGAGGAGGAGGAGGAGGAGGAGGAGGAGAGTGAGGGAGGAGGAGGAGGAGGAGTAGGAGAGGAAAGGAAGAGGAGGAGGAGGAGCAGGAGGAGAGGGGGAGGAGGAGGATTAGGATTAGGAGGAGGGGGAGGAGATGGGGAGGCAGGAGGAGGAGGAAGAATGGCGCGCCCTCGCGCCAAACCCGCGGGCCACTCTTTTCCTCCGGCTCTCCAGAGAGCCGCTCCTCGGCGCTTGTACGCCCCCATCCGCCGCCTCCCCGCGGCCCTCCTGCCCCTCCGTCCACTGCTCCGTCCGCTCTCCCGTGTTTTGCTGCTCCGCTTTTGTCCTCGTCCTCACTGCGCCATCCATCCTCCTCCTCCTCCTGCTCCTCCTCATCCTCATCCTTCTCCTCCTCCTCCTCCTCCTCCTCCTCCTCCTCCTCCTCCTCCTCCTGCTCCTCCTCATCCTCATCCTTCTCCTCCTCCTCCTCCTCCTCCTCCTCCTCCTCCTCCTCCTCCTCCTGCTTCTGCTCCTCCTCCTCCTCCTCCTCCTCCTCCTCCGACTCCCACTTACGCAACTCGCCGCTTTTTCCACTTGCGCATAAAAGGATGGGATCGTCTGTGGAGTTCATGATCTGCTATGATACGCGTCCTCGGACGCAGAAACATCAGCGCAGTGGGAATGGGTGTGTGAGAAGGGTCGGATGTTAGATATGGCGCGAGGGGGGGGGAGGAGGATGGGTGGAGGGAGGCGAAGTACGAGGAATGGAAGGTGGGGGGAGGCGGATGATAGGGGGTGAGACGAATCCAAGGCCAATGGGCGTTGACGAAAATGAGCTGTGAAGGGAGGAGGGAACAACAATAATTCGGGAGCAGCCAAGAGGGGGGTGTCCAAGAGGGGAGGGTGCAAATCATGACCGGCGGCATGTGCGCGGCCAAGCGGGGGGGCCAGGGACGTAATGAAATAAGAAGAGGCGCCATGAAATCTGGGGAAATGTCATGGCCCACGCCATGATATCCACCCCCCCTAATCATCAACCCCTTTTTGCCGCCCCCGAATAGTGGAGGAGGCAGGATGGATGAAAGAAAGAGGAGGACGTGAAGAGGGATCAGGCAGGTAATGAGGAAGTTCAGGCAGGCAGGAACCCAAAACTCCGACGTCTTGTCCTGTTCACACCGCCAGGGACGTAATTAAATTAAGAAGGGGCGCCACGAAATCTGGGGAAATATCATGGCCCCCGCCATGATATCCCCCCCTAATCATCACACCCCTCTTTGCCGCCCCCGACCATTTGAGCAGGGACCGACCGTCCCGGCATTCCTATAGTCCAACCACGCAATGTTCTTAGAACCCACAAATGTTCTAAGAACAAAAACAATGTCCTTAGAACGTAACCCGATGTGTTAAAACAAAACAATTTCAACCAGACATGTTCTAAGAACATGTCGTGGAAACCGCAGCAAAGGTTCTTAGAACATTGCTTGGTAGGGCTGTAGGCGAGCCAGGACGCTTCGCCACTGCTTGACCCTCTTTGCCGCCCCCGACCATGGCGAAGGTCGGCTACACGCAAGAGTGACCCTGGGTAAGAGTGACCTTTGGTGCGCGACCTTTTGGGGGTCGCGGGGGGACCAAAACCTGGACGCGCAAGCCGCTGCTGCTGCTTCGTTCTCAGCCATCTGGGGACCCATCTGTGCCCGCACCAAAGGTCACTCCGGCGAAAGGTCACTCTTACGCCTAGTCGAGGAAGGACCCCGGCCGCCCACCGTCCGCGTGCGCTGGCATCCAGCCCCGCCCTGGGCCCTCCGCGCCCGGCGCGCCGCCCGGCGCCGCGCGGCCGTCGGGCCCGGGCGCCTGCCCGGCGGGCCCGCGCCCGCGGCGCCGCGCCCGCGGGGCGCGCCCGGGGGCCGGGCCTGCGCGCGGAAGCCGCCGTCGACGACGCCGCCGAGGCCGAGGCCGAGGCCGAGGCCGAGGCCGAGGCCGACGAGGACGACGCCGACGACGACGCCGACGACGACGACGACGCCGCCGAAGCCGAGGCCGAGGCCGAGGGCGAGGCCGACGACGACGCCGACGCCGACGCCGAGGCCGACGCCGAAAGGATGCAAGGGCTGAGGAGGATGAGGGGGATAAGGAGGAATCGGAGCCGAACTGCGAAGCGCGAACAACTTCGCGCCCTCGAGGGCACCCTTGACGCTCAGTCGTCACGCTCGAAGGCTGCCGTCCTTGCGTGCGACATCATAAGACAAGAACGCCCGATGAGGATTCGCGTAGAGGATCGCCTAAAAATTTGATCCACCCCAGAAAGTATCGCTCCGTCAATTCTTGACGCTTCGCGTATACCCACCAGCCCATCCTGCACCAGGCGCTCGAACGAAGAGCGCCGATGATCGGCAGCTGTTCTCCTCCCCCTCTTCCTCCTCCTCCGCCTTCTCCTCCTCCTCTTCTCCTCCTCCTCCTCCTCCTCCTCCTCCTCTTCCTCCTCATCTTCCTCTTCCCTGGTGGCGTCTTGGAAGTATCTTCGAACGTTTTGGTGGGCTCTTGGGCCTTGCGGGCGGGCGGGCGGCGCTCCGCCCGCCCGCGCGCAGGGCCCAAGAGGGGGTCCAAGACGTCTCTCGGAGCCATCTTGGAGGAGATCGATCAACGAAGGGGGGTTCCTAAATTTCAGCCCCCCCCTCAGGAGCCACGATCCTCGTGAGGGGTGGCGAATTTTAGCCCTCCCAGGGGTCGATCTTGGACGCTCTGACCGATCGCGGCCCCCCCTGTCCAGGTCAGGGGGGAGGGGGTAGGGGGAGGGGTAAACCCCTCCCCGAAGGGGAAGAAGGAGGGGTGGAAGAGGAAACTCGTTAAACCACCGACGCCCTAAAGGGCTGGTGGGATTATACAATATCAAATCTTGCCGTCGAGACTAGGTTGGCAACTGAAAAGAGCATCTGGGATAATCTAGCGGCTCAGACTATTCCTGACTCTCTTTTTCTGTACCTCGAGAGAGTGCTGGTGGAGGAGGGGGAACAGCTTTGTGTTTCGGACTCTGCGGCGGTTCCTGGGAAGGTTGCACTTGAAAGATTACGGAGTAGACTCTTGGGAAAGAGGAAAGACAAGAGGATGGGGCTCCAGGAGTGCACGGAGGAGGAGGCTGAGCCCCTGGGGTGCAAACTGAGGGATGTCACGAGAGAGCTCCAGGGGCCCCAAAACCAAGCTCGGCAACTGCGTAGAGAAGAACACCTGGAGGCCTTGCATGACGCTTGGAAGGCTCGTGATTTGCACACGTAATGAATTCGGCGAGAGCTGCGGCGGGTACTAGGCTAGGACCGAAGAAGCGTCACTTCCTCGAAGTTCGGACTGCTTTTCCTGATCGACAAAAGCAGCTGTCTTTCTGGTCTGCTGCTGGGCATGCTGGGGGCATGGCAGCCAAGGAAGGTTCGCCCCGTTTCGAGCCCGCAGTCCTGGCACCTGCATTCAGAACGAGTCTAGACTTGCAAGATAAAGAGGCAACTGCGGAAGATCTTGTTCGTGTTTCTCGCTATTTGAAGCGCCGTTACAAGAGGCGCTGCCCACCACCCTGGTCTGCACCGACAGAATTATGGGGTCTCTCTCTCTCTCTCTCTCTCCTGGGGCGGGAGTCAAGCCACAGCAGCGAACAACTGGGGTGGAAGCACCATCGATTTCGAAGCCGACTTTATTGTTCACGCGAGCTGTGTCTTGGGATGCTGGAGGATGAGGTCGAGCGGACGCACGCCTTCCGTCTGGCACTGTAGTAAGACGACGGGTTTGAAGAAATCCGAAGCCGAGGGACCGAAAGGGAAGATGTGGATCCATGTGTTACCGACGTTTGGGAAAGCTTGGTATGGTAGTACGATGCGACGAGGGCGATTAGGGGATAACGTTCATGGGCATGAGAAGGGACGCTGCAAAGAAACTCCTGTGCTTGTTGCCAGTATCCTGGCCTGGAGGGCGGCGCAGCAGGGCTTCTCTGTTGCACAGCAGTTGTTTGAAGCGACCAGCGCTTTCGGAAGTATTGCGCAAGCTCGTTTCCGAGAGGCGTGTGCCGACATGTACGATGCTAGGGTCCAGGCGCAAGCCATCCAACGCGTGGGCTGAGCCCGCTGGGGGGACTTCTCCCGGTACCAGGGTGTGGGGGGGGGCTGCTGGGAGATCCTTTTGTGGTGGCAGCATGGACGAGAGCATACCAGCCATCCATTGCGCGATGGAAATCTTCCCTGGCCGAGGAAAAAGGGGCAGGCACGGGGCAGCTTGCGGCGACCAGTCCAATTTTTTCTGGGCCTGTGGGCCTGGCGGGCTGTCAGTACGAAAGCGACCTTTTGAGAACGCATGTGTCTGCAACCTCGAATCCGCTGGCGGAGCTGGCGGCAAAGGCAACGACAGCTTCGGAATTGCTCACTGTTGCACTCTCGGAGGACGGCTGCGCTCAGAACGAACCTAAGCAAGTCATACTGATGCACCTATAGGGGGAAGGCTCACACAAAGGCTACTCGTCGATCAAAGAGGGGAAGGTCCTCTTTCCTGGGAAAGTGGTTCAGCAAGCTCGTAACCTTGGACTCGCGGTTGGCTCGGGGATGTAGGCCTGAGCTGAAAGCGAGGAGGTCTGCTACGATTAGAGCCTTCGATTCCCTGGGGCAGCTGTGGTTTCTCCCTAAGGTACCTGATCGACTTAAGCAGGTGCTGTTGCTCTCGCAGGTTGTCTCCCCGGCTACGCACTGCCTGGAAGTGGTCTTCCCATCGAAAGCGCAGCTTAGCCCGTTGAAGGCGCTGGTGGATGGTTTTGCACGCAGAGCTATGAAAGGGGAGGGCGCACACGGAAGAGGAGGGTAAGCACACATCTCCCTCGAATGGGGAAGTCCGTAAGTTCTGGCGCCTGCCGTCTCTGGAAGCGGAGCTCCGAGTGCGCAGGCCACGTATAGGCTGCAAGCTATTTCTCGGGATCCAGCTAGGCATGCGCAGTGGCTGTCTGCGCATTCTGGGGAAGTTGCCCTGGGACTGGCCATCGCTCGGACGTCCATTCCCTGTGTTGTTTTCGGTTTCGTGCGTGGCTTTTTCGCCAAATGATCAAGGATGCTCCTCGATGGTCCTCGCCGAAGGAAAAATGCACACGTCCGAGCGATGCCAAGGGGAATCAGAGGCTACGATTGATCAGCAGGGGTGGCTGCTTGAGGGGGCGAAGCCGTGGGCAAAAAGAGGAGCTCTGGAAGATCCGGAGGCCATGGGGTCCCTAGAGGATGCGCAGGGATTCTTAGAGATGCTCAGAGGACGGTACGATAGAGGAGTGGGTTGGGTTTCTCTTGATCCTGAGCTCCAAGACGAGTTTAGGCGTATCGATGGTATCATACGTTCCTGGTGCCAAGCGGGTCGGCCATCGCCAAAGCCATGGTGCAAGCAGGAGTAGACTATCACAAGCAGGTCAAAACCACCAGAGCACGATCCTTGGCCGGCCGTTCCTGCACGTGTTCAAAGCAAGGATCAAAGCTTGCTACAATATCGAGAGCATCGGCGAGCAGCGGCTCGGACATCTCAAGAACTTCGGGGAGATGACGATCATGAAGGAGTCGCTCGAATCGGTGACGCAGATGATCCGCCATAACCGCTGCCGGTCGACCGAGAAGAAGGACGGGAGCACAGAGTTCGTGAGGATCACGCTGTGCGTCGCCACGGAGTGGGCCGCCCTCGAGAGCGCAGTGTTGGCCGCACTGTGCCGCACGGGGGCCGTGAAGAAGGTAGGCCCGCCGCCGCGCGGCCCGCTCGAGAGGGAGGCAGCCAAGCTCCTGGAGGAGCTGCAGTAGGACGCCCGCCTGCTGCCAGGAAGGAGGAGGGAGGTGAGAGGAGGACTGAGGCCACGAGTTCTTTTGCTGAAAGTCCAAGTTTAGGGCAAGAAGGTTTGAGGTCGTCCCTTCTCCATGAAGCTGAGATTGTTAGGCTTGCTCGGGGCTCCTCCGAGCGGGCCACCTGGACCCTGGCCTGGCGCTGTCTTTCTTGAGGAAAAGGAAGGGGGCGTCGGGGGCGGAAGATGTCTCGACAGTAGGTGCGTGCTATCTGGCCCGAGAGTGGGCGTCCCCGAAGGCACAGCAAACTTCTCGGAAAGCGCGAGGGCTTCTGCGAAGTCCAGCCGCCTTGTAAGAAAGCCTTCCCTCATCACTTCCCCCCTCGCTCGCCGCCGAACCTAGTCGGACGCCGCCGACGACGAGACTTGAGCAGGGACCGACAATCCCGGCATTCCTATAGGCCTATGACGACATGTTCTTGGAACCCCACAAACAAAAACAGTGTTCTCAGAACAGAGACCCGATGCGCCAGAACACGAGACAGTCCCGGCCAGACATGCTCTGAGGACATCCCGCGCAGGCCACGAGAGGCTCTTGGAACATTCTCTGGTGGCCCTCGTTAGGCCTCTTTAGGGGGGGGGCGCCCTGGGCGTGCCGGGGCCCTCTCCGGGAGGACGAGGAGGAGGAGGAGGAAGGAGGAGGAGGAGGAGGAAGGAGGAGGAGGAGGAGGAAGGAAGGAGGAGGAGGAAGAGGGCGAGGAGGAGGAGGATAACGAGGAAGGAGGAGGCGGTGGAAGAGGAGGAGGGAAGGAGAAGGAGGGAGATGAGAGTAGGAGGAGGAGGACGAGGGGAGGAGGCGGACGAGGAGGAGAATAAGAAAGGAAAGAAAAAAGAGAAGAAGGGGAAAAAGAGAAAAAAAAAAGGGAAAACAAGAAAAAAACAAAGAAAAGACAAAAAGAAGGAGGACGAGGAGGAGGAGAGACGACGGCGAAGACCCGCCGCCTGCCCGGCCGCGGCGCCCAGGGCCCGCAAAGGCGCGCCCGGGCGGAGGCGGCGGCGGCCGGCGGCCCGCGGAAGCCCACGGGCACGTAGTCGGACACCAGGTCCTCCTTGGGGGGCAGCCTTGCGCCAGTCGGTCCAGAGCCGGGAGGGGGTGGGGGGGGGGCTCCTCCCTCCTCCTCCTCATCCTCCCCTCCTCCTCCTCTCCTCCATCCCCTATCTTTCTCCACCCCACCCTCCTCGTCGCGTTCCTCCTCCTCCCTCCTCCTCCTCCTCCTCCTCCTCCTCCCTCCTCGTCTCCCACCTCGCGTTCCTCCTCCTTCCTCCTCCTCCACCTCGCCCTTCCTCCTCCTCCTCCTCCTCCTCCTCCTCCTCCTCCTCCACCTCCACCTCCTCCTCGCGTCCCTCCTCCTCCTTCTCCTCCTCCTCCTGCACCTCCACCTCCTTACGCCCGCTCCGATCCAGATCCTACCGAAAGCTCTCACGCCCGCCTGCCGCACGGGGCCGGCCGCGCCGTGCTCGCGGCACTGGACTGCGTCACGGCGCGCGTGCGCGCCCTTCGTACTTGAGGACCATATCCCATCGCACTTGAGGACCATATCCCAGAAATTATTTCGAGCACCTGGAAATGTGTCGAAGGAGCGCCGAAAGAGTGTCGAAACAGTGTCGACACAGTGTGTCTCCCAGGACCCGACACGCGAAAACCCTTGAGGTTCGGCACTTGTTTGGTGCTCGAAATTCTATCTGGTGATCAGGGCTGAAGTAGGTTGGAACATCATAACCTATGGGTCAGCCACGTGCAGAGCGGGGAGGGGGGAGGGCTTAGCACCCCTGCTTCTCAGAAGGCGAGGGCCTCATCTGTAGATACACGTCGGTCGGAAGGGGTAGGTAGAAAACATGAAGCAGGGAGGCGGATCAAGTGGATTGGGTCCAGGCCCTCCCAGGGAACAACAACACACAGCAACAGCATGCCGATTCTTGAAGTAGGAAGGCGCTTGAAGTAGATTGGGATCTGGAAACCAACAATACCTACTTTCAACGACCGGCGGACATACGTCAGGCCGGCGCCTCCAAAGAGGCAGCCCCCCTTCCGAGAAGCCCTCCCGCCTCCTTCCCTTCTGCGAAGCCCCCCCCCCTCCTTCCCTCCCACGAGGTCCTTCCAAGAAGCAGCCTCCTTCTAAGAATCCCCCCTCCCTCCACCCCCTCGGGGATGGACAGACCTCCCTTTAGTAAAACGTGGTTTAGTGAAACGACCCGAGGCCCAAACCTGGCGGGCGCCAGCATGGAAAATAACGGCCACGGCGCCCTCTCGAGAACCGAAAACGGACAATTCACTAATCGACGTGTCACTGTTGGGGTCTGTCCAACCCCGAACCCCCTCCTGCGCACCGCCAAGTGGGGGCGCCGCGGCGGGCGCTGGCTACCGACGCTGCCGGAGGGGCCGAACCACGGGCGCCCCGCTCCGCAGCTCTGCGGGGCCAACGTTTCCCACCACCGCGACCACCACCACAGGCAGGGCGGGGCAGAAGGGAGGATGGGGAGTTCCTCCTCCTCCTCCTCCTCGCTCCTCCCTTCTCGCTCCTCCTCCTCCTCGCTCCTCGAGCCTTGCTCCTCGCTCCTCGCTCCTCCGAGGTTACTCCTCCTCGCTCCTCGCTCCTCGTTCCTCGCTGATCCTCCTCCTCCTCCTCGCGCCTCGTTCCTCGCTCCTCCTCCTCGCTCCTCGCTCCTCGCTCCTCCTCCTCCTCCTCCTCCTCCTCCTCGCACCTCGCTCCTCGTTCCTCGCTGATCCTCCTCCTCCTCGCTCCTCGCTCCTCGCTCCTCGTTCCTCGCTCCTCCTCCTCCTCTTCCTCGTCCTCCTCCTCCTCCTCCTCCTCCTCCTCGCTCCTCGCTCCTCGCTCCTCGCTGCTCGCTCCTCCTCTTCCTCCTCCTCCTCCTCCTCGCTCCTCGCTCCTCGCTCCTCGCTCCTCGCTGCTCGCTCCTCGCTGCTCGCTCCTCCTCATCCTCCTCCTCCTCCTCCTCCCTGCGGTCGCGGTGGGGGACGACCGGCCCCTCGAGCTCGGCGGGCGCCCGGCGGCGCCCGCGCCGCGCGGCCGCCCAGTCTGGACGGGCGCGCTCCACCCCTCGCAGAGTACAGTCGGGGCGCTGAACAAGGAACCCTTCTCGTTGTGGAGGGGCTCCGTGTTCCTCGATTGTTTCGCAGCTTGCCTTAGGTTGTCCTTAGGTCTTCGATGGGGAATCGAAATTTAACTTTCTTTAAAAAGGAGCCTCTTTCCTTATTTAGGGTTCCTTAGGTCAACGCCCCGACTTTAGCTGCTCGCGAATGGCCTGGATCCGCCGCGGGGGTTTTACAGTCAAAACGTAGTTTTAAGGACGGGTGACAAGGACGCAAGACCCTTGGAGGCCGAAGTTGGGTTTTCCTAGGGCGGCGGGCGACCAGTGATGATGGCAAGGACGGGCCTCAGAGGCAAGGACACACAAGGGTACCCTAGATCCCTAGATGAAGGCGCGCGTCCTTACTGGGCGCGTTGGCTGTACGACCTGTTGCGTCGAGGCGAACAGACCCTTTTCCGGACGTTTGCGAGGGGGCACTCTGCGAGTCGTGGCACGCACTCGGCGACAGTCCACCTGGCCCGCGCCAGGTTGCTGACCCCGCGGCGCCGCTACGGCGGGCCGATGAGGGCGACGACGAGGACGACGACTGCAAAGGCCCAGACTCACTCGCGCTGCGCAACTTGGTGGTCCCGAAACGTGGTGGTGAGAACACCCGGTGGTGAGTTTTGGGCGATTTGGGTAATGGTCTTCGAGCGCTGGCTGGCCCAGGAAACGCAAAACCTCGTGGCGACCGCGTGTCCCCAAACCCGGTGGTGACCCAGAATTATTATTTGGGGGAATCGGGGTCACCACCGGGTGTCTCACCACCTGGTTTGGAGACCACCCAGCAACAAACTGCCGGAAAATGTTTGCTATCTTCAGCCTCTGGGGGCACTCACCGGGCCCCGGGACCATCAAAAACGGCTCGGGATGAGGGGCTGGTTTCGGGGAAGGGGTCCAGACCCCTGGCGGCGCACGTCGTGAAAAACACGTCCGCAGAGATCTGGGGACGACGGCGGCGACGACGGGGGAGGCGATGGCGGTGGCGAGGAAAGCCCGATTCACCAGGCCTGGAATGCTTCGAGTGCCAACTTCTCCCTTACATCCCCATCCTCCTCCACAGCCTCCCCGTCGCTGCCGTGCAAAGCAGTGCAACACAATGGGGAAAGAGGAGACGTGACAGATGTGACGAGGACGGTGGGAAACGCTGGTGGGGAGGATGCGGAAGAGCACGGGGGAGGAGGAGGAGGAGGAGGAGAATACGGAGGAGGTGGAGGGGGAGTGAGAGGGGGAGGAGTAGGAGGAGGAGGAGGAGGAGGAGGAAGAGGAGGAGGAGGAGGAGGAAGAGAAGGAGGAGGAGGAGGAGGAGGAGGAGGAGGAGGAGGAGGAGGAGGGGGAGGGAGGGAGAGGAGGAGAGGGAAGACTTGGCATCCAGGGCCAGAGACCCCAATCGGTTGGGGACACCATCCTGCCATCGGCGAGCAGCAGCGCACGGTGCTGGCAATCACACTGAGACGCACACGTACATGTGTGCAGAAGAATGTACAGAAACATTAGTGGGCAAACAAACCTACCTCGCTTTTGACCAACCTCGCTTCCAAGAGATACCAAGCGATGCCAAACTACGGCCTGTACTGGTCAGGCCGCTTGATGAGGAGGCGCGTGGTAGGACTTGGTTTTGCCTGGAAGCGAAAGCGGGGTAGGTAATTCACGCTCTGAAACATACCGACCGTGGCGTGTCCCATACCTGCAAACACAAACCACAACAGACGAACACAGCACAGTCCCCCAACCTGGGTCCGGATCCACTGTGACCACAACTCTCACTGAGTGCGGTCCTTTGAGAAGAATGGGCCAACCCTCCTATCCGCAAGCATCGTGTGATGATCTCGACTTGCCAGAGGATCTGAAATCGTCTTGCAGAGGGCGCTAAGACTGAGGACACGCTCCATTGACAAGAATCGCCTGGACCACGAACCTGTCCGGCGGACGTGTAAAAGAAACAAACAACACGGAAGCAAATACAACTGGAACCACTACGGCCACAATACAATACTCTCATGGCCGAGCTCGCGCCACTGATTTAACTCAAAGTTCAGCCCACGGAAGCAGTGGCCAGAAGGCTGACACTGCAAGAAGGAGGATGAAGACGACGAGGAGGCTGATGGCGGGGGGAGGGAACAGGAGTGTGGAGGAGCAGAGGGACGAGGGGGGGCACGGAGGAGACAGGAAGGAAGAGGGAGAGAAGGGAAGAGGATTTGTTCGTGTCTGTTTTCTTTCAGCAGGCGACGAACGGTATGAAATAAACTGTTCCGTCGCCGGGGGGCGATGCCCCAGGGCGGCTGGAAAGTTCATGCCTTGACGCGCGACCGTCAGCGTAGAAACTTTCCAGCCGCCCTGGGACAGGTGCCCCCGACAACGAAACAGTTTATGTTATACCGTTCTTCGCCCGTTCTTTCTTTTTCTCCCTAGAAAGAAGGAGCAGCAATTGCAAGCACGAGGAGAGGAGGGGGGGAGTGGAGGGAGAGCAGGGGAGCGGCGGGAAAGACGAGGAAGAAGCAGAGGAGGGAGGAGGAGTAGGAGGACGAAGAGGGCGAAGTGCTGGAACGAGGAGAAGCGAACGGTGAAGAGGGGGGGAGGGAGAGCGCGGACAGGTCAGTCAAAAAGCGAAGGAGGACGGGGATCGATGAGGGAGGAATCCGCTACCATGCCTGCACGGAGTGGGCGTGCTAGAATGCGGGTCTGTTGTCTGGGAGGTTTCATAACCTGTTCTAGGTTCTAGGGGCGCCCCCTCGACGCACGCACCCCCTAAAGGGGGCCTCCGGTGGAGCTCCCTTTGGGCCTCGAAACGTGCGAGGGGCTTGCCGAGCTGGGCGCGGGGCCGCAACGCGGACACTGCCACTGGGGCCTCCCTCCCTCCCTCCCTCCCTCCATCCATCCCTCCCTTCCTCCCTCTCCTCCTCCTCCTCCTCCTCCTCCTCCTCCTCCTCCTCCTCCTCCTCCTCCTCCTCCTCAGCCTCCTCCTCCTCCTCCTCATCCTCCTCCGCCTCCGCCTCCGCCTCCGCCTCCGCCTCCACCTTCACCTCCGCCTCCGCCTCCGCCTCCGCCTACGCCTCCGCCTCCGCCTCCTCCTCCTCCTCCTCCTCCTCCTCCTCCTCTCCCCTTCCCTCCTCCTTCCTCCTCCTCCTCCCTCCTCCTCCGCCTCCTCCTCCTCCTCCCCTCCTCCTCCTCCTCCCGCCTCCCCTCCTCCTCCTCCTCCTCCAAAAAAACACAACACCAAAGACGCATCACTACCACAACAAAATAAAATAAAAGAACCATGCATTCCAACAAACTCCATCTAAAAAACCACACACTCCAATAGCAAAACAAACCACAAAAACACACACTAAAAGAAAGAGTCAAACCCTCAAAACAAAATCGCAAAGACAGTAACAAGAAAAAATAAAAGCAAGAGCAAAGCCCAGACACAAAATCCCCTCCTCGCTATGATCCAAGGTAATAGATTGCCTAATCAACAAAAATAAAAGTCCTCCTCCTCCTCCTCCTCCTCCAGTCCTCCTCCTCCGGTGGAGCTCCTCATGGGGCCACGAGGCGTGTGAGGGGCGTGCCGGATCTGGTGCGGGGCCGCCACGCGGACCCTGCCGCGAGTGCCTCCGGAGGTGGAGCTCCCCGTGGGGCCACGTAGCGCGTCGCGAGCACCACGCCCTCGCCATCGCTCGGACGTCCATTCCCTGTGTTTTTTTGTCGGTTTCGTGCGTGTTTTTTTCTCCAAATGATCAAGGATGCTCCTCGATGGTCCTCGCCGAAGAAAAAATGCACAGGCCCGAGCGATGCCAAGCGCCTCGCTACCGAGTCTCCTTCGGGATCTGGCTAAGATTACCTCGGAGTCCGTCACTTCGCTCCGAGGGCCTGGTGTCGCCACCTGGCGATCTGGCCCAACCGAGCTTCGTCCCCACGCAGAGGGCGCGCGGCGGAGTGAGAGGAGGAGGAGGAGGAGGAGAAGGAGGAGGAGGAGGAGGAGGAGGAGGAGGAGGAGAGGAGGAGGAGAGGAGGAGGAGAGGGGAGAGGAGGAGGAGGATGATTAGGAGAGGAGCAGGAGAGGGGAGTGGGAGGGAGGATGAGAGAGGAGGAGGAGGAGGAGGAGGAGGAGAGGAGAGAGGAGGCGGTGGAGTGGAGGAGGAGAGGAGGAGGAGGAGAGAGAGGAGGAGGAGGAGGAGGAGGAGGAGAGGAGGAGGAGGAGAGGAGGAGGAGGAGAGGAGGAGGAGGAGGAAGGAGGAGACAGAGGAGGAGGGGGAGAAGGAGAAAGAGGAGGAGTTAGGAAGAGCCAAGAGGAGGCAGGAGGAAGAGAGAAACAGGCGAAAGCCGGGGTGCTGTTTTCTTCAAAGCGGGGAGCCTCAACAACACCACAGGATGGCCGGGCAACCAAAACAAAAACGAAATGCTGCGTATGTCTGGCCGCGTGGCGGTCCTCCTCCTGTCCGCCGTCGCTGCGCTTCCCCCCCTCTGGAAGGACAGCGGCACATGGAAAACTCTTCCAAGCTCCAGCGTAGGGATCTTTGGGGATCGGCGATGGGACCCAGATAGTGAATGCGCACACGAGGGGTGCATTTCGGGTGAGATACATCAGACTCTCTGAGACCCGGCGGCACTGGAAATTTCTCGGGCCGCGTGATGCCGTCTCAGAGCGTTCCGAACGGACTCTGAGAGAGTTCGGAACGCTCTTGAACGGAAATCTATCCTCGTCCTAAGCCCAGGCCAGGCCGGGGAAGAGGGGAGGATGGGGAAGGGTCCTCTCCTCTCCTCCTCCTCCCCTCCTCCTCCCCTACTCCTCCCCTCCTCCACCTCCTCCTCCTCCTCCTCCTCCTCGCCAAACTCCTCAAACTCCTCCTCCTCCCTCTCCTCCTCCCTCTCCTCCTCCTGCTCTCTTCCCTACCTACCTATAGCAGTGGGGGTGACAAAACCAGCGCATCAGACGGGGGGGGCCCTCGCGCCACCTCCCTGTGTGCGCCGCCGAGTCGTCGGAGCCGTGGTCGCCGTGGTCGCCGTTGTCACCGTCGTCGTCGTCGTCGTCGTCGTCGTCGTCGTCGTCGTCGTCGTCGTCGTCGTCGTCGTCGAGGCCGCCGTCGTCAAGGCCGACAACGCCGTCGTCGCCAAGAGCAGCGTCGCTGCCGTCGCTGCTTCGGCCGAGGCCCACCTCGGTGGACAGGGCCAACGCCAGGGCGTGGTCTTCGTCCTGCCCGTCGAGGGGGCGGGCGCTCGCTGCGGCGGGTGACTCGCCGCCCGCGCAGCGTGCGAACAAGAAAACACCACCGGCACCATCGCCATCGCCCTCAGCATCACGATCCTCCTCCTCCTCCTCCTCCTCCTCCTCCTCGTCATGCTCCTCCTGCTCCTCCTCCACCTCCTCCTCTTCCTCCCCCTGCTCCTCCTCCTCCTCCTACCCCTCCTCCTGGTCTCCTCCTGGTCTCCTCCTCCTCAGCCTCCTCCTCCTCCTCCTCCTCCTCCTCCTCCTCCTCCCCCTCCCCTCTCCTCCCCTCCTCCTCCCTCCTCACCCTTCTCCTCCTCCTCCTCTTCTCCTCCTTCCTTCTCACCCCTCCACATCCTGCTCACCCCCCCCCCTCTTCTTCTTCTTCTTCCTCCTCCTCCTCCTCCTCCTCCTCCCCTCCTCCTCCTCCTCTCCCTCATCCTCCTCCTGCTCGATCCCCTCCTTTCCTCCTCCTCCTTCTCCTCCTCTTTCTGCTCCTCCCCCTCATCCTCCTCCTGCTCCTCCTACTCATCCTCCTCTCCCCCTCCTCCTCCTCCTCATCCTCCTCCTCTTCCTCCTCTCCACCTTCTCCTCCTCCCTCCTCCTCCTCCCCTCCTCCTCCTCTCTTCCTCCTTCTCCTCCTTCTCCTCCTCCGTCTCCTCCTCCTCCCCCTCCCTCCTCCTCCCCTTCATCCCCCTTCGCGGCTCTTCTCGCGCAGCACCTACTCGCGCAGCCCGGAGAAGCGAAGAAAATAATTTGCTACTTATGCAGTATGGTATAGCTCACTGACGTGGACAGTGGGTAGCCTTGATGAAGCAGCGCATCCTTACTGTGCACGTGAACTGTATGCCGTGGCTCACTTGCGCGGCCACCTGCCTGAAGCGCTGCCACGGAGTTGCCCGGGCACTGCCCACGAGCCTAGGAAGCGCTGCCTGGGAAATGCCTGGGCGCTGCCAACTAGCCTCGAAGGCCTGCGCGGGCCGGGGGCCCCACGCCAAGGCAATCCACCGGATTTTAACACGAAGCCAGGACGAGGATCAAGCACCGGTTGAGGAGAGATCGAGAATCTCTGAGATCCGGCGGCTCTCCAGGATGTCTCGGGCGCTGCGGCCATATCAAGGCATTCGTCCTAGCCCAGTCCGAGCTTTTCCCTCGCTGCATCGGGCCCTGCCTGGCACGGCTTTGTTCGGACTTGGCTTCCGCTCCACTAGACGGCTCTGGCCGACTCGCGGGTGCCGCGCGGGACCAGGCGAGGCGCCGCGGCCTGCTTGGGGGTCGGAGGTGATGCATCGGCGACGTCGGTGACGCATCGGCCACGTCGACGTGGAGAAGAACGGGTTCAAAGTCGAGACGCATCGCCGATGCATCGGCGAAGCGGCGCGGTCCTCCGACCCCATCTGTTCGGGCCTGGTCTGGGAAGGCCTGGAAGGGCGAAGGTGGCGGCCCAACCCCAGCTTGCCGAAGATGACATGTTGTTGTTTCCCACATGGGGGGCTTTTCCTCGATCTAAGACTCATGCTGGCCGTCATCAGGAAGCGAAGCGTGAGGAGAGGGAATAGGAAGAACTGAAGGCCGACTAAACTGGCATGCGCTAGACTAAGACCTCCCGTGCCCATTTAGACTGCGATCCTGACACGTCAACCAAACGTATAGTAAATAACCACCAGCGCGAACCTAGACTTTCGGACACGAAGCCAGACGTTTGGGAGCAGCGCTGGACCACCGGCGTCCATCGCCGACGCCGCCGACCCAACGTGACCCACGCGCGGACCTCCACAGGTCAGTGCTCCTGCAATTTCCTGATCCTCGGATATCCGGACCACCATGATCCAAGACTGATGAGGCCTCGTGCAATTTGCTGCCTGCTCTGTGCTCAGCAATCGCTCGAAAGTGCCCCCGCTCAGACAGCGCTGTTCCTAGAACTTGGGCTTCATAACTCCAGTGAAGGGGCCCTGGGACACACAAAATAAACACACACAGATGACAAGATTCTCCATGTTTTCCTGTACTTTCTGGATCTTTGCCTTCCCCCCCACTTCCAATATTTTCCTATATGTTCCTGGGGATCGACGATTACGGGTGTCTGTGTGTTCTTTCCCCTCCTGCTCCGGGGCATCCCAGGGAAGTGGCTCGAGCCACTTCGCCGCCAGGGGCCGCCGGCACGGCACGCACGAGAGGACAGCCGAGGCGACCCGACCAGGCCCAGCCGGAGGGGAGGCAGGAGGGCTTTTTTGAGGTGGGGCAGACCTCGCGCGCGGCTTATATGCAAACGCGCATGTGCTGTGCTCCACTCTCTCTCTCTCTCTCGCTCTCTTTGTCCAGCGTGTCTCCGCTGTACCTACCTGTGTGTACGAGTATATGGTGCATACGGTGGATGCGTGTGCAATTGTATATATATATATATATGTAGCAGTGGTGTATCTAGGTAGCGCTGTACAGACATGGTGCATGTATCTATATATATATATATATATATATATATATGTGTGTATGCATCGTGTGTCTGTGTAAACATACATGTATCACAGGTGTGTGCGAATATGCATACATGCGCATTACCAATTATACGTCACTGTCATATCGCATGTGCCGATGCGGTAGCGCGCGCAAGCTTATTCCACCTTCCATCACGACATGGCGCTATAGAGGACGGCACGGGCAACGAACGCGGCCGAAGCAGCACAGTGATCAGCACGTGCGAGCAGCAGCACATTCACGTGCACCGCCGTCCTCAATAAACACGCCCAACACACGATCCGACGTAACTGACCAATACACATACGGCAAGTTCGTGTCGAGACGACCCCAACGTTGGCTCCTGACACAGCGTGGATCTTGCAACCTGGAACGACTGGCCGTCTTCGATTGCCATATCGTTCCATGTAGGCCGATTCTGAACCCATGGCAACGTTCAGCCTTGCACGCCCCCCGCCGCAACCGCGTCGACGCGACACGAACCTACCGCATGTGGAGAAACCAAACGGCACCGATACCGCTATTCCACGGATCTCTCCCAGTGTGCGTTCTGGCCAAAGTTTCGAAGCGAATCCAGCCGTAGCGACGAGGGCCTCCCAGGAGGCCCCAAAAGGCGAACACTGGGCAAGGGTAGCGGCATCGGTGCCTCTTTCCCCCTCTGAGCATGCGCGTGCGCCGTCAACATACCCACCCCCCCGCCCCGACGTCGTGTTTCTTTCACAACGTCGACCCCCAGAGGTCTCGACCCCCTCCCCTGGGCCGTTTTTTCATCCTGAGTCGTGTCTTGACGGTCCCGAAGCCCGAGCAGGGCCCCTGGAGGCCGAGAATGACGAAAAACCTGTCGTCGTAATTTCTTCACAACGCGAGGGGGCCTGGATATGTCCCAGCGCAGCAGTGCAGCTTGTTGCAGCACGGCGCATACCCGCAGGCCCTCGCCGCCCCCGCCACCATGATGATGATGATGATGATGATGATGATGATGATGATGAATCTGATGATCATGGTGATGATGATAATGATGATGATGGTGATGAGTCTTATCATCATCATCGTCATCATCATCAGCAGCATCAGCATCATCACCATCATCATCATAATCAGCATCATCACCAGCAATATCATCATCAGCACGATCATCATCATACTCAGCATAACCATCATCATCAGCAGCAACATCATCAACAACACCACCATCATCATCATCATCATCATCATCATCACCAGCATCAGCATGACCAACTTAATCACTATCACCAGCAGCATCACCATCAGCGTCAGAATCATCCTCCTCCTTCTCGTCCTGCTGCTCCTTCTCGTCCTCACTATAATATGATTACCCCCCCTCCTCCTCCTCCTCCTCCTCCTCCTCCTTCTCGTGACGAGCCTCCTCCCCCCAACTCCTCCTCCTCCTCCTCCTCCTCCTCCCTCCTCCTCCTCTTCCTCCTCCCCCCCCCTCCCCCTCCTCCTCCTCCTCCTCCTCCTCCTCCTCTCTCCTCCTCCTCCCTCCTCCTCCTCCTTCCCCTCCTCCTCCTCCTCCTCCCTCCTCCCTCCTCCTCCTCCCCCTCCCCCTCCTCCTCCTCCCCTCCTCCTCCTCCTCCTCCTCCTCCTCCTCCTCCTGCTCCTCCCCTCCCCCTCCTCCTCCTCCTCCTCCTCCCCTCCTCCTCCTCCTCCTCCTCCCTCCTCCCCCCTCCCCCTCGTGATGAGCCTCCGTGCCCGGCGCCCTCGCCGCCCCCTGCGCGGGGTCCTCGGCAAACCTGCCGTGCCGCCGCCCGCCCGAGGCAGAGGACCCGCCGGCGCCTGCTCCGAAGCAACGGGGGGCAAGGGTCTTCAGGAGCGCGAGGGGGTGGGGGAAGAGGAGGAAGGTGAGGAGGAGGAGGAGGAGGAGGAGGAGGAAGAGGGAGGAGAGGAGGAGGGAGGAGGAGGAGGAGGAAGCGAGGAGGAGGAGGAGGAGAGGAGGAGGCGGAGGAGAGGAGAGGAGGAGGAGGAGGAGGAGAGGAGGAGGAGGGGAAGGAGGAGGAGGAGGAGGAAGGAGGAGGAGGAGGAGCAGGAGGAGGAGGCGGGATAGGGGAAAGCGCTTTCTTATTCGACGTTTCGACATTGTCGACATTGTCGGAAGGCGGGGGGGGGTCTGGCTCGGGACCTCTGCTTAGTGCGGCTGTTTGCAGCAGTGCGTCCATTATGGGGGAGGGACCCCACCTGCTTGAAACAGGCGTCCAAAACAGCCAAGATCTACTATAATGGGGGGGAGGGGGGGGGGTGCGAGGGCCCGCGCCGATCGGCAAAACAATGAATAGGAAAACGACCACGTGACGGAGGAAGGATGTCTTGCCTTGTGCTTTGATCCGAGCCTTCTGAGAGGGAGCACAGATAAGGCGGCCGGACTTCGCAGAAGCCCCTCTGGCCTTCTGTTAAGTGCTCTATGTCGGGGAGGGCTCAGAAAACTTCTCCGAAGGCCCGATGCCTTTCGAGCCTGCTGAGAAGACCCGTCCCCTCTCGTTTGCCCACGGGCTCGCTAGGGAAAGGAGCCATCTTCCGCGATGACGTTGTTGCCCAAAGACTAGTTACCCCTGCGAATCTCTCCACCCGTCGCGCAAATCAACCCAATGCCCTATACCTCCTTCCCTCGAACCTCACCCCTCTGTTCCCCCACACCGCATCCTTGTGGGCAAAACCCCCTCTGCCCTCGTACCTCTCGTCCGCCCCCCCTCGCTCACTTCGACGGAGCGCGGTGCCATCACGCGCGCAGAACAGATCGAGCCCTGGAGTTTATACCTACAGGGCATTTTTTGATACATAGGAATGTCAAGCACATTGGATTTTAATCCATGATGAATGTATGAGTAAACTTATGCATGAACTCATAGTGGTTTTTAGTACTAAATCCCTGCATGTTTAATACACGATCCGCACGCGGAGCATGTATTACAACCGGCACTGTAGGCCCTGCAGGAGCGGCGAAGAGGCAGGCGCCGAGACGGCAGAGCCCCCCCCGCAGGTCGACACGCGTGGCACGAAGGTAAGACGAGAGTGGAGTGTGAGAGGCGCGGCCGATGCAGTGGGGCGACGCACGAGGGGAAGCAAGTGCAACGGGAACGATGGCGCAGCAAGGGCTGGCAAATTTGGGGGGAGGGGCGCGAGAGCGAGGGCAGAGGGAGAACGAGAGAGAGAGAGAGAAAGAGAGGGAGAGCGAGAGAGAGAGAGGGAGAACGAGAGAGGGAGAACGAGAGAGGGAGAGGGAGAACGAGAGAGGGAGAGAGAGAGAGAGAGGGAGAGAGAGAGAGAGAACAACAAAAAAAGAGAGATAGCGGGCGGGGATCGGCGGGGGGGGGCACCCGGCCGGGGGCGGGGAGGGGTGGAGGGAGAGTGATCGGGAGAGAGAGAGAGAGAGAGAGAGAACAGAGCGAGAGTGAGAGAGGGGGAGAACGATAGAGATAGAAATGATGGCAACCTGCTCCATATATATATATATATATATATTGCATAGTACCGATCAGCGTCTTAGATATGTATATATATGTATATATACAGCCCTGTATGAGTGTATAGAGATTTCTAACAAACAAAAGGGCACAGTCAAGTGAGGGTAAACACAAAAACAGCAAATCAAAAAGAGGGAGGCAAACAGGGCAAAAGATAAGGATACATGACATACGCATGTGTATACATACATACAGAGAGAGAGAGAGAGAAAGAGAGACAGAGCGAAGGACTAACAAGGCCGGGGGTTGGACTAGCCGCGAACTCCTCGTCCTACCTCCTAGCCACTTGGATCCTCTGACCAATCCCACGCCTCTCAAATCTTCTCACCTCCCCCGATCGTGCTCCTTTCCCCGTGCTCCCTGCCGCATCCTCCCACGTGCCTCCGCCCTCCGAGAACCTCCCGTGCGCCTCCCAGGAGCCCGTGGACCCCCCTCTGCAGCCGCCGTGCCTGACGTCTCAGTGCTTACTGTCACGCCAGGTCGGCGTCGGAGCGCGTTCGGCCGCAGCACGGACTCAAGATGGTTAGGGGGCCACATGCGAACCCTACCCCTACCCCCCACGAATTCTGACGGGGAGGGTGGGGTTCACTTCGCTCGGGAGCTCCCGAGCGAATTGAACCCCACCCTCGCCCTCAGAAATCGTGGGGGGTAGGGGTAGGGTTATGTCAGGCGTGCCCCCCCACAGGGGGATTTTCGACGAAAAATGAGAAATACACCAAAAATACACCAAAAATACACAAAAAATACACCAAAAATACACCACAATACACCAAATAATCCCCAGACTATTCTTTATGTTTTATTTTGGGTGTATTTTCGATTTTTCGTTGGAAATCCCCCTGTAGGGGGATAGGCCCGACGTAAGGGTTAGGTTTCGCATGTGGCCCATCAGTGGAGCCCATACGGCGGCCGAGCGGGCTCCGCTGCTGAGCAGGGCCCTGCCGCACCTGGGCTCGTCCGGCCGCCCGCTCGGGGGCAGAGCGGGCTCAGAAGCCGCACGGGCTCAGAGGAAACCCGATGGAGCGAGCCCCCCCAGACGCCTTCATACGCCTCCAACGCCGAACAGAAATGTCGCCCAACATGTCTGAAACGCCTTTTCGTCCTCATCGATGGGGTTCATCCTCCTCCTCCTCCAATTTCTCCTGCCTGCCCCCCTCCTCGATCCTCCTTCTAGATCCGCCTCCTCCGCCTCGGTCCTCATCGGTCGACCTCCCTCCTCGATATCCCTCCCCATGCTCCTGGATCACTCTGTCCATCTTCATCCCCCTCCGCCTCCTCGAACCTCACCCTCCTCCTCCTTCTCCTCCTCCTCCTCCTCGATTCAAGGGGGAGGGGAGGGGGCGGGAGAAAGACGGAGACAGAAGGAGATCGAGGACAAAGATCGGCGATCCTCCTCCTCGATCCTCCCCCCCGTGCCCGTCCCAGAGCTCCAGCATCGCGGCCGCTCCCAACCGTGGACGGCAGCCCTGCCCTCCGCACCGTGGCTTGGCCGCCCTGCGCGGCCCAGCGACGGCGCCCGGAGTCGGAAGGTACCCGGCAGATCCTCCGTCGGCTGCATTTCGCAACGCGAGGAGGTGGCTTGGCTCTCTGGCCACAGCTCGGGCATCTGGCGGCTCGCCGGGGCGACTCGGGCACGCACCGACAGCTCTCGGCGACGCGCGGCTGCTGGAGAGCATCCCCAGGCTGGAAGGTCACCGGAAACTGACCAGGCGCGTCCTAACCTCGGTCCTCCCGCATCGACCACCCTCCTCCGCCCCCGCCCCCTCGTCGATCGTCTTCCTCGATCCTCCTCGATCCTCCTCCACTCCTCCTCCTCGATCCTCCTATCCTCGATCTTCCTCCTCCCCCTCCTCGATCCTCCTCCTCCTCCTCCTCCTCCTCGATTCTCCTCCCTGCCCCCCCCCCCCGCCTGGAGGGAGGCCGCCCCCCAATGCCGGGCCGCATCGGGGGCGCCCAAGAGAGAAGGCGGACAGCGCTTCGGGGCCCAGGAAAGAGGAGGAGCCCACAAAAGACGTGCGCGCCCAACCACGTACATGGGCGATTCCGGGAACTTCGCTGGCAACTCATGGGAGCCTCCCATACCATCTTGTCTGCTCTCGTGAATGGACGCTAGCCCACACTAGTCGACGCTAAATCGACGCAATCGACGCTGGCCGACGTTAAATCGGCGGTATCTCGTCGACTCCCAGACGCAAATCGGCGCTACAGACATAATTAGAAGGGTATACCAGTCTCCCATGACTTGCTACTGTATTTATCTCTTGGGGGTGCATTGTTTACCTCCGCCACCTTCCGCCGCCGGCTTCCGCCGGCTTCCGCCAGTGGAGGCGGTCTCGCATTACTTCCGCCGACTTTCCGCCGCCCTCCCGCCTCCTTCCGCGGCGGAAGAGATGACAACTCCTTCGATCCTCGAAGGCAACTCAATTTTTGGAACGCCTCACATGAATACGGCCCCCCGGTCCGCGAAACCAGCCTCGCTTCACGAATGTTCGCGCAGCGCGTGCTTGCAGAGAACGAGCGTGGACTCGTGTGCGTGTACGTCCTGCGTTCGCTCCTGAGATAGGGGGAGGCCATGGGACGCGCAAGAATGATGAGAGGGGGTCTACTGAAATCTCGGAGATCTCATGGCCTGAGACCTGATCTCCACACACGGTTGTTTCAAGCTTCCCAGCACGCTGGCCCACTGTACTTAGCCCGTGCCGGGGCGGGACGCGCCCAGATTGAAAAGCTACCACCAACCCTTTGGCAAAAGATGGTCGGGATGTGGCTGACGCGTGCCACGGAAGAACGAGGCGGAGCCAGTCCACGAGGGAACTGACGACTTGCAGCCTGCAGCGGGGAACCGACGAGCCGCCAGAGAAGTACAGGAGCGGCCCGGAAACGCCACCGGCCGCGACCTGCTCCAGAGTGCGGAGCGGGCGCGACCACACACACACACGCACACACGCACACACACACACACACACTCTCACACACGCACGCAGGCACGCACGCACGCACGCACGCAAGAACGCACGCACGCACGAACGCACGCAAACGCACAGCTGCTGGGAAGCACCAAGAGGCGAGAAAACCGCCGAGATCCAACGACAACTTCCTCCCCTGGATGAAGAGAAAACGGCATAAACAGAAACGCTTCCTGGATCTGCACTGGACCCCACTCATTGGCACGCGGAGCGCGCCAGAGGCGGCGCCAGAGGCGCCGCCAGTGGAGCCCAGGGCAAATGCCAGAAATCCGAGCGGAACCCCGCGAGTTTGTGTTTATGCCCCCGATCCCCCTTCGACGATGAGAAACGTCCTCGCCCATCAGACCTCCTAGCAGAACTCCACGAGTTTATGTTTATGCCCCCCTCCCCCTTCGACGACGAGAAACGTCCTCGCCCCCCAGACGTCCGAGCGGAACTCCACGAGTTTATGTTCATGCCCCCCCCCTTCCCCTCCGACGACGAGAAGCGTCCTCGCACCCCAGACCTCCCAGCAGAACTCCACGAGATGATGGTCATGCCCCCCCTCCCCCCTTCGACGACGAGAAGCGTCCGCGCCCCCCAGACCTCCGAGCAGAACTCCACGAGATGATGGTCATGCCCCCCCCCCCTTCGACGACGAGAAGCGTCCTCGCCCCCCAGACCTCCGAGCAGCAGAACTCCACGAGATAATGGTCATGCCCCCCCCTCCCCCCTGTCGACGACGAGAAGCGTCCGCGCCCCCCAGACCTCCCAGCAGAACTCCACGAGATGATGGTCATGCCCCCCCTCCCCCCGTCGACGACGAGAAGCGTCCGCGCCCCCCAGACCTCCGAGCAGAACTCCACGAGATGATGGTCATGCCCCCCCTCCCCCCTTCGACGACGAGAAGCGTCCGCGCCCCCCAGACCTCCGAGCAGAACTCCACGAGATGATGGTCATGCCCCCCCCCCCTTCGACGACGAGAAGCGTCCTCGCCCCCCAGACCTCCGAGCAGCAGAACTCCACGAGATAATGGTCATGCCCCCCCCTCCCCCCTGTCGACGACGAGAAGCGTCCGCGCCCCCCAGACCTCCCAGCAGAACTCCACGACCTTATGTTCATGCCCCCCCCTTCCCCCTTCCCCTCCGACGACGAAGAACGTCCGCGCCCCCCCCCCGCGGACGCCCTGGGGGCGGGGTGGGCCTCCGCAGCGGCCGGCGGCGCCGTCCGCGTCGGCGCCGCTGCCGCGCGCCCGGGCGGAGCAGGTGCCATCTCGGAGGGGGGGAGGGGAGCGGCTTGGAAAGCTGACGAGGACGTTCGATTATAATAGACCCCTACCCCTTTGGGAGAGGACCTAAGTTAGGAAGGCCAAACACATCGGAGGGGGGAGGGGAGCGGCTTGGAAAGCTGACGAGGATGTTCGATTATCATGGACCCCTACCCCTTTGGGAGAGGACCTAAGTTAGGAAGGCCAAACACATCGGGGATGGTGGGCCTTCCGGTATCGGGGATCTTCTGACCCGGGTCAATCCAGACCCGGGTCAGCAGGAAACCAAAAACTGCAATGCAGGAAAAAAAAAGCTGCAACGCAAATCCTCGCAAACCCGGGTCAGCCAATACGCGCGTCCGCCTCGCGGCCACGAGCGGCTCCCTGACCCGGGTCAGCCAGCGGGGGCCTTTGCAGGATCCTGCAGGATCCGGCGACGTGGCTGACCCCCGTTTGCATTGACCCCCGTCTCAAGGCTCCCGACGGTAGAAGTATGGAACCAAACCGGCCAAACGCATTATCCCTACTGCAAAGACGGGGGCCTCAGCAGGGCTACGTCATCATCATGTTATCAGGGTTAGGGGTTCATCTGCCCTCGATGGCTGTTCTGGAGGGGGCCGAAGAACAGAGTCAAGATAAAGGCGCTTGGGCGCTAGGGAGGAGGACTCAATGAGTAGGGAGAAGAGGAGGCGGCAGATGACGAGGCGGAGGACGAGGAGGGGGCGAGCGGGGCTGAGGACGAGGAGTTCAGGAGGACGCCGATGAGGCTTACGAGGGCGATGACCGGGGGGAGGACGAGGAGGTCGAGGAGGCTCACGAGGACGAGGACGAGGGGGAGGACGATGGGGTGGGTCAAACAACTACTCTCAGAGGGGGAGGAGGCGGATGACTCCTGTGGCGAGGCTCTCCGGCCCTTGACGTTGGCACCGCGAGACCCCGGGCGCCACCCCGGGCGCTCGGAGAGGTCGGTGACCCGCGCTCGCGGGCGAGGCGACCGAGCGGGACGGGGGACGACGGACGACCGCGGCGGCACCGAGCTGGCGAGGCGGGGCTCCCCTGGAATGATGCGCGACCACGCGCCCCCTGCGGGGAGGGGAGCCCCGCCCAGGGAAGGCCGTCCCCAGGTGCGGGAGAGGACGAGGAGGAGGAGGAGGAGGAGGAGGCATAGGATGACGGGGTGAAGGAGGAGGACAAGGGCGAGGGCGAGGAGGCGGAAGGAAGCTGGGCGGGACGCCGCCTAGCGTCGCTCCGCCTCCTCGTCGTCCTCGTCCTCGTCCTCCTCGCCCTCCTGGGCCTTCTCGACGTGTCCTGATCGTCCGCCGTCTCGTCCTCGTCCCCTCGCCCTCCTCGTCCTCCTTCTCATCCTCCTCCTCCTCGTCGTCGTCCTCCTCCTAAACCTCCCTCCTCCCAATAGTTCTTCACGATGGGGGCACAACAAGATCACGTCGATGGGACTTCCAAACTTTGCGCGGCTGCTGGGGCACTTAACGGGCCCCCGGGTGGTGAACGGCTAGCTCTGGATGAGGAAGTGGTTCCAATCATCCAAAAATCAGAGGTCCACGTTGCGACAGAACACTTCGTTTGAGTTCTGGGTTCGCCTCCTGGTCCTTCTCCGCTTCCACAAACGCTTCCGTGTCCTGGTCCTCGATCTGTTTTTTTGTGTAGTGCCTTGATCTGGCATGCTGAGATGTGATCTGGGAAACAACTTGCCGTCCTCAACCTCAACCTCGTCCTCCTGCTCATCGTCGTCATAACCCGAACGCGAACACAAAGGAACCCTGCTGTCCTTGCTCCCCGTCTTCCTCCCAAGATGAGAGAAGATCAACAGCGGGGATGAGGACATGCACAATGGAGCTACTGATCACCGTAGGGTGAATTGCCTGAGAGACCACGGACGAACGCCCTTGTGGGGGCCAACGACGACTGGCTACTACAATAATGCTGGAGGAACAACGGTGGAAATATCAAAAGAACAATGAGACAACTTCGAACCCGAACTGGTCATTATGACACGGTCTTGTCAATCATTTCGAAGGCCAGGCGTTCAAGTGTGATGGGGTGGAACTGAGGTAACCCTAAGAAATTCGTACTACCCCCACTGATGGAACACTGATTTGCTTACAGTGGCAGATTGAAGGCTGCCAGCACCCAATATTATGTGGCACAGAGTTCGTCCTTTGCCGCCGCCGCCACCGACGTCGTCGACGTCATAGTCGTTGTCTGTCGCCGCCGACTCTGCGAACAACGACTCGAGAGCGAGGGTTCGGAGTTGTACTACAAGCCCTGTACGAACTGGCACGGAATCCCACCAACCCTCTGGGCTTAGGTGGTATAACGCGTTGTGTCTTCTCTCTTCCACTGAAACCCCTACCCCTACCCCCTCCCCTGGGCCAGGAAGGGGGGGGTACCGAGGCGTTAGAGCGTCCAAGATGGCCCAAGATTGCTCCAAGAGGGCTTCGAAGTCGCAACATGGCCTCCAAGATGGCCCATGCTACTTCAAGATGGGTCAAGATAGCCTCCGGCATACCCCCAAGAGGCCCCTGAGACAGCCCCAAGACGGATCCAAGTGCCCTTCGAGCCCTCCACGGCGCCCTCAAAGAGGCCCAAACCGCTCAAAACCGCCAAAATTCACGGCCCACGAAGGCCGAAGACGGCACCACGATCGCCCAAGAGGCGCCCAAGAGCGCTCCAAGAGGGCCCCAAGATGCCGTTTGAGAGCCTCCGAGGGGGGGGGGCCGAATTGCTTCCCCCCTCTTTTTGAGCCATGGTGCCCAAGACGGCCCCAAGAGGCCTCCCAGACCCACCAAAGAGCCCCAAGAGGGCTCCCCAAAGACCGTCCACCCCGCCCTGTTTGGCCCAATATGGCTCCAAGAGAGCCCTAGATAGGCAAATATGGTTTCAAAATGGCCTAAGATAGCCAAGCATGGCTCAAGATAGCCTCCGACAAACCTCCAAGAGGCCTCAAGGCAGCCTCAAGATGACCCAAAATAGCCGAGCATGGCGCAAGATAGCCTCCGACAGCCAATAGCCGAGCATGCAAGATAGCGTCCAAAGAGGCCCCAAGAAAACTGGCAATCAATTCTGGATGGGCTGGTGGGGATACTTTTTTCGTCGCGGCCGCAAGCGAAAGCGCAGGAGGCGTCCGAAAAGGTCGAGCGGGCTACGCGCGAGCCTAATTATACAACGACCGAGCGCGGGATCAGAACCTACCGCCGGGTGGGCAGCTGTCTGAAGCTGAGCTGGCTGAGCTGGCTGCAAGCGGCCAGGGCTGCATGCTGCACACGTGCGAGACCCAGACGGAACATCAGGGTGAATTGAACCTGCACGCCAGGAGACGTCGTGGTCTGGGCTGTAGGATACCGACCAAGCGTCCGACCAACAAGGCTGCACCGCCTGACGGTCAAAAACCCAGGCCCGTCAGCACGCAGACAGGAGAACAGAGTCGGATGGGTGCAAGCACTCTCGGACCCGGTGTGGGTACCATGGGAGCAGATCACCAGGTACGCTACAGGACCTTGTCGCCACCGGGCGCCAGGGGTCAGGGCCACAGCCGTGGCGAAGTGCGGGACCATGAAGGTCCAGCGACAGGGATATTTTCTCGAATCGTGACATCCACCAGGGATAACACGCCGACAACAAACACTCGGCCGCAGACCCCCGCACCTGATTGCCAAGCCAGAGCTCTGGGGGGGGGCGGCGTGCAGCGTGAAAGACATTCTGCGGTTAACGTCTGGAGGGTGAGGAGGTGAGAAGAGATGGATCCAACCATGCTCTAAGGAACTTGTGTTGTTTTGTGCTGTGCCCCGTTGTTTGCTTTTTCTGCTCAAGGGTTGTGGGCTCCCAACCGATGCGCTGGGGTTCCCGAGGGCACCGGCGGCTCCTGCAGCGGCAGGAGGTCCAACACAGAAGTCCGCACTGCCCAGAGATTGGCACAAACCGACGGCAACGACTGGAAAAAACATCGGAGCCGACCGAGGCCGAGTCAAGGGAACGCAGCTGCGAAAGGACGCAGCGACGCGGCGACTCCTCTGCGACGCATCCACGGTGCATCGGCGACGTCGGCGATGCATCGACTCTGCACCCGTGCCAAGAAGATTGGGCTCTGCATCGAGCCGAGCCGGCGACTCATCGGCGAGGCGGCACGCGATCTGCCGACCCCACCTGCTCGTAGTCACCCCATCTGGGAGGCCCAGAGCAACGACGGAGCCGACGGCGCCGACGATGACGGCCGCTGCTCAGAACTGCTCCCGTATGTGCCTGTTTTTGGTGGTTTCGATGACTGGCGTGATGGCGTGATTAGGGGGGGGAAGGGGGGAGCTCGCCCCGACCACTCGCATCACTGCGGGGGCGCGACAGAAATCTCAGGAGATCCTCGAAGAATCCGGCGGAAATCCTGGCGAATGTGGGCAACACAGTCGGGGATGGACAGACCCCCCTTTAGCAAGACGTGGCTTAGTGAAAACGACCTGAGGCCCAAACCTGGCGGGCACAAGCCTGGAACATAACGGCCACGGCGCCCTCTCGAGAACCGACAACGGTCAATGCACGAATCGACGTGTCACGGTTGGGGGCTTTGTCCACCCCCGACATAGCGTGACGTGATCACGTGAGGGGGCCCATCACGGCCACGAGCACGAGGGCTTCCCCGGAGGCCTTGCGAGAGACCAGCACCGCAGCCACGAGGGCGACTCCCCCCCCTGCCGGCGGACGGGCGGCTTCGAAAGCGGCGCGCAGCTGGGGGTGGCGCGAAGAGGACGGCCCTCGATGAGAAGGCGAAGGGCCTTCTCTCAGAAGGGCCTGGAGGATTCCACGAGCTGGGCGCGAACTACGGGGGGGCGATAAAGCGTTCGGGGGCAGCTCGTGGGAGCCTCCCGTACCATCGTGTCGGCTCCTGCGCGTCGCTGCGGGTCGTTGCGAATCGACCCCTGCCGAGGGTACAGAAGGCTTCCATCATTTGCCATCGAGCAGGCTGGGGAGAACAGGAGGTGCCCGTCTCGGGTCCTCTGGCCTCTTGAGGGAACCGAAGGGCCCCTCTTCTGCAGCCCTCGCTCGCCCCCCCCTCCCCCTTATCGCCCCCTATCTCTATCGCGCCCCAGCAAGAAGCCTCGTTAGAAGCCTCCGGGCCGCCACCAGAAGCCAAGCAGGCCCGTGCGTCTCAGAAGGCCGACCGCCTCGCGCCACCACTGCCTGGCCGACCAGCCATTACTGCGGGAGCTGTGGTCCTTACCCCCCTGGGGGAACCCATCGCATCGACGATCTCTCGAGAGGGGTGTCGAAATCGATGGGTCCCCCAGGGGGGGGAGGACCACAGCTCCCCCAGTTGTGGCTGGCCTGGAGGAGGAGGGGGAGGAGGAGGAGAAGGAGGAGGAGGAGGAGGAGGAGGGAGGAAAGAGGAGGGGGGGGGGAGGAGGAGGAGGAGGAGGAGGAATGAGGAGGAAGGAAGGAGGAAGCAGGAAAAGGAGTAGGAGGAGGAGGAAGAGGAGCGAGGGAGGAGGAAGGAGGAGGTGGAGAAGACGACCGGAGGCCTACGTACAGCTCAATCTTCCTGCGGCACCTCTCGAGCCGAGTCGACCCACGAGGGCCCAGGTGCCCGATGTATGAAGGGGCCCCAGGACACAAATAAATACACACAAATTAAAATATGCCCTAAATGTTCCCATGTTTGTGGGTTCTTTGTCTTCCCCCCGCTTCCCATATGTTTGCACATTTTCCTGAGAATCGGCGATTCATTGTGTCTGTGTTTTTTCCCCTCCTAAAAGTGCTCCGAAAAATCGCCCCGCGTGGCCGCAAAAGTGGCGGTGCGCCATGCTCTCGGGGGCCCGGCGCGCGCCGCCGATTTCCGAGACGTGTGATGCCTCAGCCCGCGGCCGCAGCGCTCCCCCGGGACACGTACACCCTGCGAAATGCTTAAGAAATCATGGGTTAAGAAATTCATAGCCTCAGAATTTGAATAGAAACCCAGGGTTTCTGTTAAAATCTTGAGATTTGCATTGAAACATGAAGAATAATCAAGACTCTGGCCGAACACGTGAGTTTTCTTAAGCATCGCCTAGGGTGTACGTGTGCGCCCCGTGTCAGCTGTTGATGATGTTGCAACAAAAAATTGCATGTCTTAGATTCTGGCAAGTTGGCTTCCACGAGGGAGGGTCGGGTCGGGCGAAAGGGGGGAATAGCAAAGGGGGGGGGAGAATCAGCTCACGTAGCTGGTTCTCCTGGCGCGGGAGGTGACTATGTATCGAGGAATGGGCCCCTCGGCGGAGCCGAAACCAGCTGCACGCAGCAAATTCCGTACCCCCCCCCTTTCCCTAAGTATCCCCCCCTTTCGTCCGGCCCGAGAGGGGGAGGGGGCAGGGCGGAGAGTCCCCAGCGGGAACCTGGACGTCACACGCAAGTCGGGACTCGCTCGCACGCCGCTGCGGCTCGGCGCCGATTGGCAATGCGGCGGGTGGGGGGGCATGCCGTGCAAGCAAACGGGCCCGAACGTAAAGAAAACCAGCCTCATAACCCGGAGAAGCAATTAAGGAACCCCCCGGCGTTATCATTAGCACCGCGCCGTAATTAAATAATTATTTGGGGGGGTTTTCGCCGAGCGATATTATTAGCACCGCGCAAATGGAAGGAAAATAAATAATTCCAGCGCCCCGCCTCGGGTGGCATCCCAATTAGAATTGTAATGAGAATAAGAATACGAATACGAATAAGGAAAAGCTGAGAAAAGCTAAGGAAAAGCTTAGAAAAGCTAAGAAAAAACTGAGAAAAGCTAAGGAAAAACTGGTGTACCCCCTCCTGGTGCCAGGATAACGCTTCCGGGTGCCGGGTGCGTTATCCTTTCACCGGAGAGGGGGGGGGGGGTCCTTAATCGCTTACTCGGGTTAGATACACACACATTCCTCTTCCTATATTGAAATAAGCCCGGGCGGGGGGAACTCCCCCCCCCAAACCTGGACTCCCGGGATCTGGGGCTTTGGGACCCTCCGGACGGGCCTCCAAGCGACGCCTCCGGCCTCGCAGGGCGTGGTGCGCTCCCGAAACGACCCCAGAGAGCCCCTAATACGGTCCACGACGACCCCCAAGAAGCCGTCATACCGCCAAAGATCGTCCCGAAACGTCCCAAGAGGCCTCCAACAGCACTCCCAAGAAGGCCCCAAGAGGCAAAAATCATTGATGCTTGTTGGTTGTTGGTGTATGTTGGGGTTCTCCTCTTTTCGGCTTCCCGACGCTCCAAGACGGCGGTCTTCTGGGCGTCCGAAGCCGCCTGGGAGGCTCCAAAAACGCCCCACTACCATCCGAAAGAGCTTCCAGGCAGTCCAAGAGAGCCCCAAAACGGCACAACAGGGGTCCAAGATGGTCCTCAGAGAGCTCCATGGCGGCCCAAAATGGCCCCAAGACACCCTCCGAAGCATTCCAAATCGTGACCCGGTCGTTCAGGGAGACCGCGGTTGGAGGCAGGGTGGCCCGAGGAAGCCCCCAGAGGCCCCCAGAATACGCCCAGGAGGCCTCCAGAAGGCCTTAAGAAAGCCTGAAACAATTTTTGTGAGGCCCCCAGAGGCTCTCCAAGGAGGAGCCTCCGTTACAAGAGCTAAGGAGGATGGGGAGAATGCGCAGGACATGGCGAAAATAAGGAAAATGAAGCATGGAGGAAGGATAACGAATAACATTATCATAGCGGCGATGCTGGGAAAGGCAACAAGGAGTTATCGCTAAATTGTCGGCTTGACCTTCCTTGTAGTCCGCCTGCATACCAAACTGAAAGGACCAAGGTGCATGCATGGCGCGAAGCGCCACTGCAGTCCTGTATACATACAAATAAATGAATAATGGCCTGGTGACGGGCCACAGGGCAAAAACCAAGGACACACCGCCCGGACCGAAAAATGATCGCGTTGGAGAACGACCGCGACGGCGCCAGCGCGAACCCCGCAAGTCTGCACCCCTTCCCCCGACCAGTGCCCCCTGCTTCCCGCGTCGTCCCGTGATGGCCCCCGGGGCCCGGCCGAGGCCCCAGGGCGCCGGCATGCCGACAGAACCCGCTCGCCGTGCTGTTTTTCTTCTGCCTCGCCGCGCGAGGGCCCCGCGGCACGACGGCGACCGCGACCGCGACGGCGGCGGCGACGCCGACGGTGCCCCGCGCGACCCGGCGGGCACGGCACGCAGCAGGCGAGCAGGCCGCCCGCACGCAGCGCCGCCCAGGGGCACAGGGGCGCCTGGGCCGGACAGGCCGCCGTCGCCCGCCGCCGCCGCCGCCGCCTGCGGCGGCCGTCTTCGCCGCGGCCGCCGCCGCCGCGCCCGTCGCTGGGCGGCGCGCACAGGGGGGGGGCTTGGGGGGGAGGGGGGAGGGCCTCTTGAACGGAGGCTGCACCTCAGAAGGCGACGGCCCCACACCTCGAGACGGGGCCCGCACCCTCCCGAGAAGCAGGGGGTGCTCCTGAGAAGGCCTCCCCCCTCCCGCTGCCCCCCCCAATGCTTGGCCGAGTCTTGTCCCCCAAGGATGCTCGCGCCGTGGCAGAATCCCGGCGGGCAACTTTTGGCCGTATTCGGCCTCTGGGGGCCCTCGCTGGGCGCCGGTGCGCGTCCCCCTACAGGCGGATTTTGGACGAAAAATTAGAAATAGTCAAAACATAATGAAGACATGCCCCCTTCCCCCAAAAAAATCTGCCCCCAGACTATTTTATGACTATTTCTGAACATCTCCCCTGTACAGGGACACGCCCGATTTGACCCTGGCCCCGGGGAAGGGGTCCCGACCTCGGGGGCCCACGTCATGACAGAAGCAAGACGCCGCGGCGCCCGTCTGTGCCGCGCCCGCCTCTGCTGGCGGTCTTCGGAGCTGACCGTCTTCGACGCCAAGTCGTCTTTGAGTACCGAACCCCATCCCCAGCGGCGTGGCCTGGGCCGATTTACCCCGTAGATGGGGATATGGATCGTCCCCTTCGGGTCTCGAGGGGCGTATCCTCAACTGGGGTGGTAATTTGCTGGGGGTCTCGAAGGGGATGAGGATGGGGACGGGGGTCGTTTAGACGATACCGAGCCAAGTCGTCGCCAGCGCTCGTCCTAGCAAGCGGCCGCGCCTGCTCGCCCGGCCTTCTTCGCCCGCGCTCGTCCTCGTGGTCTGCCCGTGGCCTTCGTCGTCGCCGCCGTCTTCAGCTCACCATCTCCGCCGTCGTCGCTGTCGCTGCTGTCCTCGCCCGCCATCGTCGCTGAGGTCGGCGTCGCCGTCGTCGTGGGTCGCCCCCGCTGGCGTCGTCCGCGTGCCCTCTCGCCCGAGCAGCCCGTCGGGGTCCGCTTGTCCGGTCTGGCCTGCCCGCTGAGAGTTCCGTCCGCGGGCCTGATTGCAAGCCCGACCGCCCTCTGCCCTTGTCCCGCTCACCTCGTCCACCCGCTGGGGTCCGCCCGACTCTCAGGAGGAAAATAAACACACAGACACAATTAATCGCCGACTCCCAGGAAAATATGGGAAAATATGGGAAGTGGGGGGGAAGATAGAGAAACCCCGAACATATGGGACAAAAATATGAGGAATGTTTTTATGTGTGTGTGTGTCTATTTATTGGTGTGTCCATCGCCGCCCGACTCGCCCCGTCAAGAACCGCCCGCACGCTTGCTAGCACTCCTCCTCCTCCTCCTCCCTCTTCCTCCTTCTCCTCCTCCTCCTCCTCCTCCTCCCTCCTCCTCCTCCTCCCTCCTCCTCCTCCTCCTCCTCCTCCGCCTCCTCCTCCTCCTCCCCTCCTCCTCCTCCTCCTCCTCCTCCTCCTCCTCCTCCTCCTCCTCCCGCCTCCTCCTCCTCCCCCTCCCCCTCCCCCTCCCCTCCTCTCTCCTCCTCCTCCTCCTCCTCCTCCTCCCCTCCTCCTCCCTCCTCCTCCTCCTCCTCCTCCTCCTCCCTCCTCCTCCTCCTCCTCCTCCTCCTCTCTCCTCTCCTCCTCCTCCTCCTCCTCCTCCTCCTCCTCCTCCTCCTTCCTCCTCCTCCTCCTCCTCCTCCTCCTCCTCCTCCTCCTCCTCCTCCTCCTCCTCATCCTCCTCCTCCTCCTCCTCCTCCGCCTCCTCCTCCTCCTCCTCCTCCTCTCCTCCCTCCTCCTCCTCCTCCTCCTCCTCCTCCTCCTCCTCCTCCTCCTCCTCCTCCTCCTCCTCCTCCTCCTCCTCCTCCTCCCTCCTCCTCCTCCTCCTCCTCCTCCTACCTCTCCTCCTCCTCCTCCTCTCCTCCTCCTCCTCCTCCGTCCTCCTCCTCCTCCTCCTCCTCCTCCTCCTCCTCCTCCTCCCTCCTCCTCCTCCTCCTCCTCCTCCTCCTCCTCTCGCCCCGTCAAGAACCGCCTGCACGCTTGCCAACACTCCCGCCCGCCCGCTTCCCTGCCTCGCGCCCGCCCCGCCCGCGGAGGGTCCGCCCGCACGACCCGGCCCGCCCCACGGCGACGACACTCCTCCTCCTCCTCCTCCTCCTCCTCCTCCTCCTCCTCCTCCTCCTCCTCCTCCTCCTCCTTTCTCCTCCTCCCCCTCCCCCTCCCCCTCCCCGCCCGCGGAGGGTCCGCCCGCACGACCAGGCCCGCCCCACGGCGACGCACACCGCGGCGACTGCACTGCGGCGACGGGGCGAAGGCCGCCAAACGATGACGACCGCCTGCGCTGACGGCCGCTGGCGGACAACGTCCGCCGACGAGGACGACATTCCGAGGCGACTCCAGCAGTGGTGACAAAGGGCCCCCCAGGGAGGCCCCAAACAGAGGGAAACCGAGGGAAAGGTGCGCAGCGGCATCAGTACCTCTTCCACCTCCAAGGTATGACCCATCGTGGCATCCGCTCAGCATCCCCCGCGGTGACCCAAGCGGGCGGCGACACCCGACCCCCCCCACACCCACCAACCGTCGATGCTCCTGAACCGATGATCGGCGAAGGCAAGGTTCTGAACATAAGGGGGAAACGGGCCCTGAGGAAAAGGGATCCCGTACTGGACCCCGGGGCCTCCGCCCGAGACGGATCCTTCGCCCCGAGTCGCTGTCTGACAGTCCCGGGGCCTGTGGAGGGCCCCGACCTCCTGGAAAACGGCAAAACACCTGAAAACACATGAAACCACCGCCGCCCATCGGGTTGCCTGAATCGCTATCTGACAGTCCCCTGGGGCCTGTGGAGGGCCCCGAACCCCTTGAAAAAGGCAAAACACATGAAAACACCTGAAACCACCGCCACGCCGCCGCACACCTCCTCCTCCTCCTCCTCCTCCTCCTCCTCCTTCCTCCTCCTCCTCCTCCTCCTCCTCCTCCTCCTCCTCCTCCTCCTCCTCCTCCTCCTCCTCCTCCTCCTCCTCCTCCTCCTCCTCCTCCTCCTCCTCCCATCGGGTTACCGGAAGCGTTGCTCGGCGAGGGCAGGGTTCGGATCTCGCCAGCCGAGCAGACACGCGGGGGCCCTGCAGGCCAAAAGGGCCGCCGCGCCGATCCCCGACCAAGTGGGAGCTCCGCCAGCCCGCGATCGTCGGGCAGCCCGCTCGAGAGCTACAGTCGGGGCGTCGACCTGAGGAACCCTAAATAAGGAACGAGGCCCCTCTTTTTCCATAAGTTGACCTTCGATTTCCCGTGGTCGTCCCGTCGTCGTCGTCGTCGCCGCCGCCGCCGCCGCCGTCGACGACGTCGTCGTCATTGTCGTCGTCATCGTCCGTCGTCGTCGTCGTCGTCGTCGTCGTCGTCGTCGTCGTCGTCGTCGTCGCCGTCGTCGTCAACGTCAATGTCAACGTCACGTCGTGGTTGTCTGGTCGGTCGGTCGGTCGGACGGTCGCCGTCGGATGGAGGAATATCAGGAGGTAACTCCGAGGAGGTCTTCGTGAGGACAAGTACGGACAAACTAGTAAATCCGATTAAAGAACCATTCAGCCAACTCAGCCCGGATTAAGCGCAAGATTAAGCCAGACTGCATCGGCTTAAGCGGAAATCGCATGGACCGTGCCTGCTTGGGCCAGCTTTCGACCACGGGAATGCCAGCGCCGATGCTGAATCTACCCTCCCAGGCGCTGCATCGAAATAAATAGGAGGACGAATGCAAGGCGGATGGGCACGGGGAGAAAGAGGATAGGAGGAGGACGAAGACTCGAGTACCCTCGGGCGGCTGGGAACTGTGCAACTGTCGCCACTTTCGTGGGCTCCTGGGAGGTCCAGCGGGGGCCAGGGGCCACGCGCACCTAGCCGAGGCTTCGCTGCTCCAATTGTGCAACTGGTGCCACTTTCGGGGGCTCCTGGAAGGTCCACCGGAGTCGGGGACCACGCACACCCGTTTGAGACCTCGCAGCTCTCTGAGCGGCTGCGAATTGCACAACTGTCGCTACGGTCGGGGGTGCCTGGGTGGCTGCGAACTGCGCAACTGGCGGTCAGCGGAGTCGGGGGCCACGCGCACCTGTTTGAGACCTCGCAGCTCCCTCGGGTGGCTGCGAAATTCGCAATTGTCGCCACTTTCGTGGGCTCCTGGGAGGCACGGCGGGGTCGGAGGCCACGCGCACCCATTTGAGGCTTCGCTGCTCCCTGTGTGGATGTGAACTGCGCAATTGTCACCACTTCGGTGGGCTCCTGGGAGGTCCAGCGGGGTCGGGGGGCACGCGCAGCTGTTTGAGACCTCGCTGCTCCTTGGAATGCTGCGAAATGCGCACTTGTCGGCACGGGACGTCCAGCGGGTTCGGGGACCACGCGGATCCAGCCGGGACCTCGCAGCTCCTTGGGGGAGGCTACGAAGTGCGCAATCGCCGCCAGTTTCGTAGGCTCGTGGGAGGGAGGCACGGTGGAGGTGAGGGCAATGCAAATCGTGTATATCTGGCGATGGTTTGCAGCACGGAGAGTTCAGGCAACTATTCGCCTCGCATTGACAAAGAGATTGGGTACGTCTCGGGTAATGATCCGCCGTCTGGGACTTCCTAAAATGACGCAGCGCGAAGACCCTGAGACCCGGCGTTGCGAACAACAATACAGCATCGCGAAACATATCGACCAGAACCCCGACGGACCTCATCTTGCTGCGACGCCTCTGGAGCTGATCGGCACGTGGCCCGTAACAGAGCAAACTCGCCTGTTGTGAACAAAATGTGGCACCAGGATCTCGGGGGAGGAGGAGGCATGGGCTCCCAATGTTACTCCTCGCGCTGCGCGAAGCGCGCATGCCTTCGCGCTCTCTCGCCGCCGACCCGGTGAAGCAGTGGAGGATGAAGAGGACTCGGAGCCGAACCGCGAAGTGCGAAGCGCAAATGACTTCGCGCCCTCGAGGGCGCCCAGGGGGGCGCCACGGGAGCGGCAAGGGCGTAGAGCAGTGGTGCCCTGCTGGGCGGGGCTCAACGACTTCTGCTGCCCCTCGACCCGCGCTGGAGCTTCCACTGTATTTGTTTGTCTTGGCAGAGGGCACAAAACCCACCCCCATAATAATCACCCCGACAAGCGAAACCGTTCAGTAAACGCACCCAAGGAAAGAATCGAACGGGGCAGGGCTGTTCAGTCAACGCCCAGGGACGTTCAATAAACGTGAATTGTCTGGTCCGGATGTTTTCCCCTCCCTTGACTTGGGTTATCACTGAATTCGCGCAGATGTGTTTGGACTTGCCTGGATACTTCCACTTGGACTCTCTTCGATGTTTACCTGCCTTGATCCCCGCAATTCGATTGGCAAAAAGTCGTCACGACCATGAGGGCTGCCCTCCTGACGCGCTGGCCCTTCTCCGCGCAAGCAGCTGGGGAGGGGGGGGGGCAGCAGTAGAAAGGTTGGTCGTCCTCCTTCTCTCCCCTCTCTTGCTCCCCTCTCCTCCGTCCTCCCTCTATCCCTCCTCCTCCCTCCTGCTCCTCCCGCCTCTTCTCCTCCTCCCCCTTCTGCCCCTTCCTCCTCTCCTCCTCCTCCTCCTCCTCCTCCTCCTCCTCCTTCTCCTCCTCCTCCTCCCCCTCCACCTCCTTCAGCCTCGTCCGCCGGGGAGCGAGGGAGAGATGGCGAGGGAGCAAGGGAGGAGGATGGATGAGGAAAACGGATAAGGATAGTGGAAGAGGAGGAGCACAACAAACGCGGAGGATGCGAGAAATGATTCGGAGGAAAGACGGAGGGAGGAGAAAGAAACGGATAATTACGATGTCATCGGTAAGGGCAAGGGGAGAAAGAGGACTGCGACAAAGACGAGGACCGGGGAGGAGGGCGTAGGACGTAGGAGCGGGGACGAAGACAAGTCAAAGACGCAGAGGAGGGGAAGAAGAGTGGAAACAGCATCAGAAACCAGACGAAGGGGAAGATCCCCAGGGGTCCCCAGATGCCACCGAACCTCGAAGCTTCTGGAAGCCAGGGTTTCAGTAACAAACAAACACACTTTTGACCGAAGCGAGCAACATCATCTGTTGTTCAAATGTTGTTTCAACTATGGTTTGGGTGTTTTGATCTACTTTCCGTAGTCTGAATTGGGTTACATCTCGTTATTGGCCATAACTTAATATCCCTCAAGCACCGACAGATCGACGACGACGACACCCCAAAAGCCTTGCTGGACCCCTTCCCCGACGCCCGCTGTTTGTCTCGAGCCGTGTCTTGACAGCCTTGGGGCCTGGTGACGGCACCCCAGGGCCCAAACTGGCAAACTTCCCGCCTCGAGTTGTATCGCAACGCGAAGAGGCACGGCTTCTGAGTAACAACTCAGGCCCTCGGCGGCCGTCCGGGACGATCCGGGCACCCCCAGAACGCTCCCGAGGAGACGAAACTGATGGACACCATCCCGAGGCAAAAAACGTCCAATGACCCAAGAAAACGTATGCAACCTGCAGGGGCCAAAGCTGGGCGAACGGCGATGTTGCGTAACGGTGGTGTTGGGAGCCAAAGTGCAGGAAGCTACGGGCCACACTCTCCCATATGTCCAATCTGCGAATGGATCGAGAGAACACGACACCGCAGAGTGTAGGAAACCGCGAGCCACGCGATCCCACACTGCCGAAACCTACACATCGCCGTTCGCCCGCCGACGGAGGGAGGAAGGGGCAGAAGGGTACCGATACGCCTGCCTCCCGGACCTCTGCCTCCTTCCAGGGCGCGTTGTGGCCAGCATCTCAAGGATAGCCCAGTCGCGGCGACGAGGCCTACTCCAGATTTCGTAATAAAGGGAGGGGGGTCTCATTTCGGGGGGGGTCTCTTCCAGGCTATTTTGGAGGGCCTGGGGGGGTCTGGGGACGATGTTTTGAAGGGTTCTCCCACGGTGGAGGTCTGAAATGGCTTGTCTTGGAGGGTCCAGACCCCCTCCCTTGTATTACGAAATCTGGAGTAGTCCAGTCGCGGCGACGAGGCCCACCGCGAGGCCCAGAAAGGCCTCACCGAGGGACCAGATTGAAGGGGCCCCAGGACACACAAATGAATACACACAACTAAACATGTTCCCCATAAGTATTTTCCCATTTTTGTCTTCCCCCCCACCTTCCACACTTTCCCACACTTTCCTGGGAGTGGACGATTGATTGTGTCTGTGTGTTTTCCCCCCCCTCCTGACGCGAGAGGAGCCCCGGCGACGACGACCACCACGCCGGTCCGCTGGGCTCCTTCTGCGGGGACGCGCCGGGCTCCGCCGCGGACATGCTTCCGCGCGCCGCCGCCCCTGGGGCCCGGCCGGCGGGGGAGGTCGGCCGGCTGGGCGCAGGCTGGGCCCTCGGGTCGTCGTCGTCGTCGTCGTCGTCGACGTCCTCGACGTCGTCGTCGTCGTCGTCGTCGTCGTCGTCGTCGTCGTCGTCGCCGCGGGGGCGGACGCGGGGGGGTCCCTCGGCGGACGCAGGCTGGCGGACGCGCCGTCTTGCTCGCTCGCCCCTGCGCGCGCGCACGGGCTCAAGGAGGACCCGGGGGCGAGGCGGCCTAGCAACCGCGAGGCCACCGGGCGGCCGCAGCATTCCAGGGAGCAGTACGGCGGCGGCGCCGGTCTTTCCCTGCGCTGTGTCCAGGAAGGAGGGGGCTGTGTCGTTCCTATCGTACCTGGAGACCTCATCCCAAACATCAGGTCGAGCCTCCCGAAGAGTATCGAAACAGTGTGGGCCCGACACGCTGGCGCACTGCCGAACGAGTATCGCCTCCCAGGGTCCGACACGTGAAAACCGTCCAGTTTCCATCGCTTCTTGGTGCTCGAACTTCCTTCTGGTGACCAAGACCACGCAGGGTGGAACGTCACGAGGGAGGAGGAGATCCTGCGGGGAGGGGGGGCGGGGGAAGAGGGTATAGGCCACTCCTGGCCGCGCCTTGGTCTTGGTGTGGAAAGCCTCGATCCTGGCGCTGGCGCCTGGGCCGAGGCCCGCTGCTGGTCCGAACGGGACGGAACTGAAGGGGCCCTGAGACACACAAGTAAATACACACAAATAAACATACTCCCCATATTTTCCCATACGTTTCGGGTTTTTGTCTTCCCCCCACTTCCCATATGTTCCCGTATATTCTCTGGGAGTCGACGATTCATTGTGCCTGTGTGTTTTTTTCCCTCCTGATGTTCCTCCTCCTCGGTCGCCCTGCACTTCCCGTGGAGGACAAACCTGTCACGAAGACAACGGCTCGTGCATCCTGGGGCGGGGAGGAGGAGGAGGAGGAGAAGGAGGAGGAGGAGGAGGAGGAGGAGGGGGAGGGGAGGAGGGGGAGGAGGAGGAGGACGAGGAGGAGGAGGAGGAGGAGGACGAGGAGGAGGACGAGGAGGAGGAGGAGGAGGAGGAGGAGGAGGAGGAGAAGGAGGAGATATACGAGGAACGGCACGGAGCGGATCGGCCCACCTCGCCGCGGGGCGCCCGCGGGCTCTCCCCCTCCGTCGACGGGGCTCCGGCCGTGGACGATCGCGGGGCCCACCGGCCGCAGCTCCTGCCGCCGAGCCGCAGAGGCTGAACTCATGAGGGGGAAAACACACAGACACAAATACCCAGGAGGATCTACACAGCTTAAAATAAGCATATGATATTAAGTTGGCCACATATAAGCATATGTATGGTATATAAGCATATATATGCGAATGGCTCTCTTGTTGTTTACACAGTGCGGCACATCAGATACACAATGACATAGGAATGGCAGCATGTCGTGAGTTTCCGAAGTTTGCGTGGCGTTGCACGGCGTAGCGTTGCTATTTCACACGAGCAACGAGGCACCAACAAACGCAGAAAGCCAATTCCTTTTTCTCATCCTTATTTCCTCCTTTTCCTCCTCTGCATCCTCCACCTCTTCCTTCTCTTCGCTCTCGTGTGTTTCGCCCTACCCTGTGGTCCAGAATGCTTGTGTTAAGGATCATGTATATCATGATTCGTACAGCTTGTGTTTCAAGCATCGGTGTGGTAGTAAACAATGCAGCTGCTGAAGGAGGAGGAAGAGAACGAGTAGGGGGAGAAGGAGAAGGAGGAGTAGGAGGAGGAGGAGGACGAGGAGGAGGACGAGGAGGAGGAGGAGGACAAGGAGGAGGAGGAGGAGGGGGGAGAGCAGGAGGAGGAGGAGGAGGAGAAGGAGGGGGAGGATGAAGAGGAGAAGAAGGAGGAAGAGGAGGAGGAGGAGGAGGAGGAGGAGGGGGTGGAGCCTCTGGAGCCTCTGGAGCCCCTGGAGCCTCTGGAGCCTCTGGGGCATCTGGAGCCTCTGGAGCCTCTGGAGCCTCTGGAGCTGCTTAGCCGTTTAGCCTCTGGAGCCCCTGGGGCTAAATTAGGGCCGGCTGTTTAGGAGCCTCTGGAGCCTCGGAGTTTAGGGGCCTCGTTGGTGCCTTTTGGTAATACTCAGCAGAGTCTGTGAGTTTTCTTCCTCAGAGTCTTGGACCCCACAGATCTCTGTAGCTCGAGCGCTCGGGCATGCCCAGCACATAAAACACATCTGGCGATGGCTGGTGGCTGGCGAGCGCGGCAGGGTGATCGTCGCGACCCAGCCCAGGCGGCGGCTGCGGATGCGCCAGCGCCAACACACCATCTCCATCACGATGCACCCACGGGCCCCTGCTGCCAACACCACCAGCAGGAGCATCACCACGATCACCAACTTGCTTCGCTGGGTTGAGGTCCAACGGGTCCTCGTAGTCATACTCAGTATTTGGAATCACCCTCGAAATCAGTTTTGCCTGGTCTGCGAACATCTCCTTCGGCTTCCACCGCAGACCATGCTGATGTTTGTTCGAAATCACGTGGCTCTCATTCGGCGCCTCCACATTGCACAACAAGCACTTGAACGCCCATGCATCGGGCTGCCAATAGTACCACTCTGGAATCAACCGTTCACCTGCTGTACTAATTATCCACTCTGGCCTGTGCTTCGGCTCCATCTCCAGCTCGCGCTGGTCAACCTGGTTCCACCAACAGCACTCGCCCTTAAGCTTCTGCGGCATGCCCGACGCGTAATGTCACGCGCGCGGTACAACTATCGGCCCTTCAGGCCAATATGGATTGTAAATGGGTTCGTGCCAAAATCGGCTGCGGTGCCAATGGGTTCGTGACCAACGTCGTTTCGTTTTATTATACATTCCGCGCTGCGCGATTATCTTCGCTAACTCACCGTGGCGTTTCTTTGGGGATGGGGGATGTGGGTGAGTGCCTGAACATATCGAGGTTTGTCAGGTGGGTGGGGGTCGCAGCGTTGGGCGAGTGCGCAGGGGGGGGTCGGCACTGCCCAATGGGGAGGCACCCCCTCCGCATCCGTCGAGACGTACACTTGCAAGCAACAATCGTGTCTGCCACGCCTTTCTGATGGCGCGTCCCTGTCCATCCCACTTTGCGTTTGACGAGTGTTCTTCATGTTTCTGTCACGCACAATGCCCCTTCTACCTCCCCCGCCCCCGCCCGCTCCTCACCCGACCTTTTGCGTCCGCCCTCGCCCGCTCCTCTTCGAGCTCTGCATTTCGCCCGACGGATTGCTTGCGCACCGCCAGTGCCAGATGTCTCAAGGCATGCTTGCACGCGCCTCAAAAAGAACATGCATTCAAACATGGAGTCGTTGGTAATTGGTGCGGTCGTGCATGGATGTGGCGCAGGTGCGCGCGTGCGTGCGCGTGCGTGCCGATGTCACCTCATCTCCGTCAGCGGTCACCGTGTTCGCGTTCCATTGCTGCCTTCCCGCCCTTGCTCCTACCCCGCCACTACATTACCCGTATGTTGTTTTGCCAGGCGCGCGACGTGCGTGAATCGCACGCATATTGTCGTAGACTAGACCTCGCGCGCGATATTGCGCGCGCGCCTTCCAACAAACCCCAATGAACCCCCAGCGATTCTCCAACGCTGCGCCGACGCGCTCTGCACAAAGTATTAGCGAAATGACTTGTAGCCCGCTTTCAAATGCGAGACCAATCTGCAGACGCGAATTCATACATGACGCAGCAAACAGACGCGCGCGCCCGCGAGCGCGGTGCGCGCGCATGTGCACGCCACACCAGGCATGAGAAAGATTGCGCAGCCGAGTCAGCTAGACTCGCTGGGGCCCCAGGACAAAAAAACGCAGGTTGGTGACGTCATCGCTCACACCGGGCTGGATAAACATGACTGCGCGTTGCCTCGACCTGGGGATCCTCCAAACGTCAGCGCCACGTTGAAACAACAGTCGCGCAACTTCAAACTAGGGGTGGGCCATCGGGGAACTGTGCTTACACCATCGGTTTCGAGTTGGAAGTTGCGCGCGAATCCCAGGCGATTGAACCAAACGCTGGGCGCCAAAACCAGGGCGGGCGCATGTGACGAGCGAGTGCCCATATAAACGCCAATGACTCGATGCCGACGCTGCGAAAGCAATGGGCCGATCAACGCACACAAGTTAGGGATGTCGGATGCCCTCCAGAAACGATAAGACTGCGAAGTAGCAGAGGGAGATGGACTGCATGAGGGAGGCGATAAGGAGGGGCAGAGGGACAAACAGAGAAAGAGAGAGAGAGGGAGAGAGAGAGAGAGAGAGAGAGAGAGAGAGAGAGAGAGAGAGAGAGCGAGTGAGAGAGAGAGAGGGGACATCGGACTACTTGCACGGCGGTTGCGCGACCGCGTAGACAAAGGTACGAGAACGATCCGAGGAGATAATGTGCGGGGAGAGAGAGAGAGAGAGAGAGAGAGAGAGAGAGAGAGAGAGAGAGAGAGAAAGAGAAAAAAAAAAAAAAAAAAAAAAAAAAAAAAAGCGAAAGAGCGAGAGAGAGCGCGAGCGAGAGAGAGCGAGATAAAGAAAGACATGTATGGTTGGCGAGAATCCGAGGGGCGCGACTGAGCATGGACCCCTGCGCACGTGAGCGCGAGCTCCATGAGGAGCCAGGCAGCACATCATGGCGTTCTAAACTTGCCAGACAGACAAAAACAACCGATGTCGTGCGCCACGCGTTCTAAACTTGCCAGACAGAACAAAAAAAACAACCGATGGGGCGGGGCTCAGGAGGAGGAGGAGGAGGAGTAGGAGGAGGAAGAAGAAGGAGGAGGAGGAGGAGGATGAGGATGGGGATGATAAGGAGGAGTACCACGCGCTGGGGGGGGGGGGGGGGCACGCGTCGGGACTTCGGCAGCACTCCAGGGATCACGGTGAGATGGCGGCTGACAGCATCACCCAGCAGCTGCCAGAGTCAACTCAATTCGCGTGGGGCGAGGCGGTTTGCACTGCACTGCCACGGAGCACTCGCCAAAGCATCTGCGCTGATTG